GGGGGGGGGGGGGGGCAGGCATTGTGCGGTGCGGCCGGTGGCTTGGCACAGCTGATTCACAGCTGTGTGGTGCATGCGCCAGGCAGCCCAGCCCGGCACTGCAAAGTGGTTCTGTGGCAGCAGTCCCTGAGTGTGCCTCGCTCCCACCGCCACACACCCACACGGTCTGCCCGCCCTTCCCTCTGCAGACCTGGTGGAGGACTGCACCCGGCTGGACCCCTACGCCCGCCCCTCCTCCCGCGACATCCTGCTGCGCCTCAAGTCGCTGGCCGCATTTGCGGAGCGCAAGGACAAGGAGCAGGGGCGCTTCAGCCTGTGACCCCCCGCCTTCCTTCCCTGTTGAAGCAACACGCCCTGAGATCAGTTTGTGAAATCCAGACAGCCAACCTGAAGAAGAGCCATTCCATTATTTGCAGAATCCCAGCTCGGTTTTCTAAAGGGAAACTGGGGTCGGGGGACGCCCCGCTGTCGGCCCCCCCTCGCCCTGCAAGCGCCCCCCGCCGCCTCCTGGAGCCCCTCTGGGCCGCTGGGACGCGCGTTCCGCGGCGTTCCGCGTGTGCGGGCGGCCCGGCGAGCGAGGCCAATTCCCATTCCCCGCCCCCGCGCCTGCGGCTCGCCGGCGCGCTCACTGGCTTCGATCGAGGTGCGGGCCGGCGCCGGGGAGGGCTTGCAGCGCGGGATGGGTGCCCAATCGCGCAGCTCCCTGCCTGCCACGCTGTCGGTCAGCTCCAGCCGGCCCTTTCCACGGGCGCCGCCGCCCGGGGAGGCTTCTTGAAGGCCTGGGCGGCCGCGCGGCGTGCTGCGGGCGTGGCTCTGCGGCAGCGGCGCCTGCTGCCGCTGCGGCAGCGGCCGCCGCCCTGCAGCGTGGCCTGCTGCAGCCTGGCCTGCTTGCTTCCTGGCTTCCTGGCCCATCCTGGGCTTCCCACAATGCCACCAGCCTGTGATCCCCAGTCCTGCCACCCTGCAATCCTGCCTGCAGGCATGGCATCTTGCCCCGGCGGCGTGGCGGTGTCAGAATGCGCGGCGCTGGGGGCCTGATTGAGGGCCCTGCCGCCCGCGGCGCTCCCGACGGGTGAGCTTCATAGGCAGCAGCAGCAGGCAGCTGTGAATGTGTGGCCCTTAGCCCTAGGCTGCCCTGCCGAGGCCCAACACTTTGAAGCATGCGCATGCGTGCTGGCGCATCCGTGCTAGCGGATGCAGCTGCTCAATCCCTGCCTGCGTTACAGCTGCTGTTCTCACCTGCTTGCCATGCCCACCCTCCATCCACCCCTACCTAGCTGCAGGCCTCAGCAGCAGCCTGCTGTGGAGGAGGCTGGGGAGGCTGGGGAGGCTGGGCCTCCAGCTCCCCTCGACCCTCCCTTCCCGCCGCCCTACGCCCACATGCCAGCGGCGTTGCAGCAAGCTGTGGCTTGTGTGCAGCAGCAGGCCCACCTGCCTTGTGGCCACTGTGCAAACCCTCCTGCGGCTCATCGAGAGTGGCATTCCCCCCAGCCACAACCACTGCATTGTGCTGCTGGGGGACGCCCACCCGTACACATGGCAGGGCTTTGGCGGCGCCGACCAGCAGGATGCAGTGGCTGCGGTGGTGCAACGGCTGCTGCAGCTGTTGCCCCACCTCTGCGTGTACGAGGGCCTGGAGCAGGTCATTGCAGCTGCAGAGTGAGCATGTGGCCACCGTGGTATTTGCACACTCCTGCGCATGCATGCTGCTGGTGATTGTGCCCCCTCCTGCAGCCCCCTCCCACAAACCTCACCCTCCCCCTGCCTCCCATCCCTGAGCCTGCAGGTTTGGTGCACACGTGCTTCCTCCCCGTGCCCTGGTTGACCCCCCTCCCCCCACCCCCTGGCTGGGAGAAGTCCGCGGCGATGCACGCTGCCTACGTGCGGCAGCAGCAGCAGCAGCAGCAGCAGCAGCAGCAGCAGCAGCAGCAGCAGGAGCAGGATGGGGATGATGGCGATAGCTTCTTTAGCAGCGATGCGGATGGTGGGCTGCCGGCCCAGGAGCAGGATGGGGATGATGGCGATAGCTTCTTTAGCAGCGATGCGGATGATGAGGGTCCTATTGACTTGATTACCCCGGCCGCCTCACCCTGATCTGTCTGCTCCCCTCCCCCTCCCTTCCCTGTGTGCTGCCTTACCGTGCCACATCTCCTCGTGAGTTTCACTGTGCTGTCTCATTTGCATGCTGTAGCAGGACTACAATTGCATCAATGTTGGAAGCAGTGGGAGCAGGAGCTGAAGGGAGCAGTGGGGGCAGGCAGCAGGCAGCAGTGGGAGCAGGGGAGCAGGAAGCAGTGGGAGCAGGAGCTGAAGGGAGCACTGGGGGTAGGAAGCAGTGGGAGCGGGAGCCCCGGGGCCACAACTGAGATTGGTGGCAACTGTGAATGGTGTAATCAGGCACACGGTCAGCCATTGGGCGCGGGCTTTGCCGGAAGCCCCAGCAGCTCGCGCACCGCCGCCTCGTTCTCCTTGCGGCCCAGGCTGGCAAAGTTCTTCTTCTTCTTGCCCTCCTGCGCGCATGGTAGGGCATTGCAACGGTGAACACGAGCAACCAATTGGAGTGTTGGAGCCCTCTCAGGCCCCTACCGCCGCCACCGCCGCTGCCGCCGCCTGTTGCTGTCACTCCTGCGCCCATGGCGCACCCCCCGAACCCCCAGGTTCCCACCTGCTGCGCCAGGCGCTGGTCCACCAGCCTGGCAGCATCCATGTTTGAGCAGCCCTCCTGGCGTGCCAGCTCCTCCACCAGTGCCATTGCGTTGACGACCAGGTGCCAGATCTTGCGCACCGCCGCGCCTGGGCGCCAGGTGTGCCGGGTGGGCAGCCGGCCCAGCCGCTGTGCCTCCCGCTGCTCGTCCTCCCGGTCCTTCCACGCCGGGCCTTGCACGCCCTCGTAGTAGTGCCGCGCAGCCTGCGCCGCACAGAGTAGTTGTAGTGGGGCACGGGCGGTGGGTGCTTGGATCGCACACAAGGGGACAGGCCACAGTCAGGGGGCAACCGTGGGCGCACAGGGGCTGGGCAGCACACAAGGGGACATGCCACAGTCAGGGGGCAACCGTGGGCGCAGGTAAGCACGTGCGACTATAATGCGACTACACATGCACACAACCCAGTTCACTCACCCACTCGGTGTTGAGCAAGGCGGACAGGCTGCTGGGGATGTTGCAGGGGACGCCATGCCAGCGGCTCCGCCAACCACCCTCTGCTGAGCTGTCTGCTGCTGGTGCTGCTGCGCTGGGGGCGGCGGCAGAGCCCGCGGCAGGGGCATAGCCGAGCTCAAACACACCAACTGTGGTGGCGTCCAGGCTCACGCTTGGGTCGGCAGCGGCCGCTACAATAGTACGGCGGCGGCTTGGGGGGCCGTGCAAGCTGACTTCCGAGGAGAGCAGATGGACGGCAGTGGTCAGTTCATGCTGCTGCGCCAGCTGCTGCTGCTGCTGCTGCACCAGCTGCCGCAGCAGCGAGAGGGGCACGGTCACCTGCCCATCCTCACTGGCTGCCAGCACAGACGCGTCTGCTTCCAGCAACGCAGCTGCCGCTGCCGATGGTGCCGGCTGCGCTGCTGATGGTGCCGGCTGCGCTGCCGGCGCCGGCGCTGCTGCTGGCATCGGCGCCGCTGCAGCAGCGGCATCCCCAACTGCCACCTCAGCCAGCTGCATGAGCAGCTCCTCGCTGGCTGTCTCCTCGTGGCGGCCGCACTCCTCTGCAACCGTCCACGTGTGGTCGCGGGCTGCTGCTATGCCGCGCCGTGCAGCGGCCTGCCACTGGCTCATTTCGGCCATGCGCTGCCGCGCGGCCTCCATGCTGGACGGGCGCCGCCGGCCCAGCACCGCCGCACTAGCGCGCAGGTCCTCTTGCGCGGCCAGGGGGGGCGTGGGGCGGTGTAGAAGCAAGGCGGAGGATCACAGGCCCGCCAGAGGATCACAGGCCTGCCAGAGCCCATGTGCAAGCACAGGCGCTGTCAACAGCCAGCAGGAGTTGTTAACAGCCAGGCAGGTACCTGTGGAAGGGCGCCCGGGAGGGCGCGGGGCTCCTGTGACGTTCCCTAGTTTAGTGCGAGCTGGCCCAGGCCCGCGGAGGGCCGCGCGGCGGTGCAGGCAGGCAGTTATAGTTGAGAAGTGTTGCCAGGAGGCCCTGGAGCGCGCCCCGGCGCTCCGCCCAACTCGCCCCGGAAATCTTGAACCAGATAACCGTTTGCGAGGACGCACCGTGCGTCATCGCGTAGGCGTTCCGCCACCTGGCACGCGTCATCGCACCCCTGGATTTCCAAAGGAAAGACCGGGGTGGGGGGACGTGGCCACATGTTGGGGGACACCCACGCGGGGACGTGCCCCGCGTCCCCCCACCCGTATTTCTTGCATCAGTTTTTCTTGGGGCACCGGGGCACCCGGCAGCGCGCCCCCAGGGGCCTTCCTGGCACACTTACACACCACAACTGCCCGTCTGTTGCCCTGCGCGGCCTCCCGCGGCGCCAGACCTGGGCCTAGCATCAGCAAGGGAGCACCGCGGCGCCCTGGGCGCGCCCCACACGGCCAGGTGCACTGCCGGCTGTCAACAACGGCTGCCCCTGGCCGGCTGCGCCCATGCAGCCTGTTGCCCATGCAGCCTGTTGCCTGTGCTCCTGGCGCCACCCCACGCTCCCCGCTCCCTCTCCCCCCTTGCCTCCCGCCTGCAGCCATGGGCTTAGAGGCGTTTCCGCGGCCCCAGCGCGCCCGCACCCAGCCCAGAAAGATGGTCGAGGCAGCGGACGACTCGGAGATCGATGCCGCAACACACTGGATCCACCAGTCCACTAGCCTGCAGCAGTCGGCGCTGCCGCCCGGTGCCCGCCCGCCGCTCGGCAGCCGCCCTCCGCCCCTCCCCCGCCCCAAGGCGCGGCGCAGCAAGGCCACCCGCGGGCCCAGCAGCTGCAGAAGCAGCCCCTGCAGCAGCCCCAGCCAGCAGCAGGACGACAGCGACTATGAGGACGCCGTCAGCGATGCAGACGCGGAATGGGCAGCGGCTGCGGCAGCGCTGGGCAGGGCACCGCCAGAGGCAGGCGCCGACAGCGGCAGCCACCAGGCTGATTCGCCCGATGCCCCAGCGTACAAGCGCCGGCGGGGCAGCAGCGGCAAGGCCGTCAAGCTGCGCAACCCCGAGTGCGTGCTTGCTTGCCTCCCTGCCGGCCGGACCTGCCGGATCTGCCTGCAGGCATTCACTTCCTCGCCTGCTGGCAGCCCCCGTTGCTGCAGGTACACCGAGGAGGAGCGCGCAGAGCTGGCCCGCAAGTCCCACAAGCGCCTGCAGGACAAAACGCTGAAGTCGTATGACAGCCACCTGCGCAAGCTGGAGGTGACCTTGCTTGCCACAGGCAGCTCGGCGCCGCCAGCGCACCAGCCAACCAACCCAGCTATGCCCCGCCCCGCCAGGTAGCACCAGCCTGCTGGCCTGCCTGGGCCCGCCCCCCGACCCCCCTTCCCCCTGTGCACATGTAGGCCTTCTGCAACATTCAAGGCTTCACCCTGGCAGCAGCGCAGGACGCGATGCAGGTGGTCACGATCATGGCAAAGTTCATTGCCTGGGTGGCGAACAACATGCCTTGCTTCAACTACAGGGGGAAGAAGGAGTCCATGGTAAATGCCGCCGCCCACCACCTGCCCCACTTGACACTCGTGCCAGCCCTGCACTTGCTTGGCCCGGCCAGCCCCTGCCTGCACCAGCCAACACCTTGTCTGCATTGGTGGCTGCAGTCATTCGGCCTGCTACGCGCCGTCCGCAACGCGGCTGTGCTGAAATACAACCAGTTGTGCATCAGCAACGGCTGGTCTGATGCCAGGGAGCTGATGGCCACACGCGAGTTCAAAGTGAGCCCGACATGCGCCCGCTGGCGCCACCCATGCCTTACTGCTTGCAAAACACATGATTGCTTGGCTTGCTGGGCGAGGCTGCAGCAAGGCTGATTTCTTTGCTGTCCCCGCCCGCTCTGCAGGTGGAGTTCATGAACGGCTGCGCCCTGGTGCTGCCCAAGAAGGGACGGTGCGCCACCAAAGTGCCTGCCTGCCCCCCTGCCGATGCCACCAGCCTGCACCCCCTGCCTGCCTGCCTGCCCCCAGCCTGCGTGCCTGCTCGATGAAGCTGCTGGCGCCCTTCCTTGCTCCACGCCTTGGCAGGCCGGGACGGCAGCCAGGGCAGCTGTCTCACCATGATCCCGCCGCCGCGTGTTGCCCTCCCGCCCCACCTTCCAGCCTCAGCCTCGCTCTCCCCGCATCACGTGCCAGCTTCATCATCCCTCCCCACCTCACTCTCCCTGCCTCACTCTCCCTGCCCCTCTTCCCCTCCTTCCCCACCCCACCCTCCACCCGTCGCAGCCTCCTACTTCCTGGCTGGCGCCACCATGACTGGCGGCACCATCACGGTGGAGGGGTGCGGCAGCGAGAGCCTGCAGGGCGACGTGCGGTTTGCCGAGGTGATGGGGCTCATGGGAGCCACGGTGGAGTGGCAGCCCTACTCCATCACCATCACAGGTGGGCCCGCAGGGTGGCTGGGCTGCGCCTGTTCTCTGTTTTCTGTGTGTGTGTGTGTGTTCTCATGCAGCGCTCCGCTGTCGCCCCCCGCCGCGGCTGCGCCTCCTCCCCTCCTCAGCCTGCCCCGTCCCCGCCCCCGCCCCGTGGCCCCTCGCCGACCCCCAACACCCCCTGCCACCATGCGCGATGCGCGTCCCCGTGTGCAGGCCCGCCCCGCGGCCAGCTCAAAGCCATTGACCACAATTGCAACGACATCCCCGATGCCGCCATGACGGCGGCGGTGGCGGCGCTGCTGGCCGACGGCGCCACCGCCATCCGGGACGTGTACAACTGGCGGGTGAAGGAGACGGAGCGCATGAAGGTGCGGCGGGGCTGGGCGCCTGCACCGAGTGCCAGCCTAGGGGTGGGGGTGGGGCCGGGAGGGGTGCCTGCACCGAGTGTGAGCCTTGGGGTGTGTGCGGGAGGGGCTGAGCTGGATGCGTCTGAGTAGTCATACCTGGCCTGGGTGGGGGCGGGGCAGAGGCAGAGGACAGGGGGAGGCCAGGAGTGAGCGCCAGGCACCTGGGCAGGCCCATCCTGGCACGCCGCTGCCCCGCCCTGGGCGCCTGCACCCCGTGGCGCCTGCCCCACCCGCGCCTGCGCCTCCGGGTCAGCCAGCCGCCACCCACACGCGCACTGCCCTGCGCCGCTCCCACAGGCCATCGTGGCGGAGCTGACCAAGCTGGGGGCGAGCGTGGAGGAGGGGCACGACTACTGCGTCATCACGCCGCCCAAGGAGGTGAGGGCTGTGCCGCCGCTGCAGTCGTCATCCTGGAGCCGCCACTCCCCGCGACCGCCGCCTGTTTGCTGCAACCCCAACTCCTCAAATCCCTCTCTCTCTCACACGCGCACCACGCACACACACACTCGGTATCTCTGGCTCTGGCTCTCAGCCCATATCCCTGCCTCACACACGCCTGCCCCTCCCTCCTTCCCCACCCAAGCAGGTGAAGCCCGGGGTGGCGATCGAGACGTATGACGACCACCGCATGGCCATGGCCTTCTCCCTGGTGGCCGCGTGCGGCGTGCCCGTCACCATCCTGGACCCCGGCTGCACCCGCAAGACCTTCCCCACCTACTTCCGGGTCTTTGAGACGGTGGCCAAGCACTGAGGCGTGCGGCGCGCCGCGGCGCGGGCCCGCGCAGGCCGCCCAGCTGCGGGGCGGGCGGCGGGCTGTGGCCATGCACTGGCCCCTGCGGCATGCCATGCGGCGGGCCCTGCCCGCGCGCTGAGCGCTAAGGCCTAGGGAGGACAGCGCAGCGTAGCACGGCGCGTCCACCGCGTGCAGCGCAAGGTGCTTGTTCCACCAGCCGGCCTTTTTGTTTTCCCTCCCAGCGAGAGCCTCCCCAGTTCAGTTGCCGGCAGCGCCGAGCGCCCTCTCCCATTCTTGCGCTCCTTTTGCTCCCCCGTGCGCTTCCTTCCAGCAAGGAGTGATGAACAATACTTCCTTTAGGCCATAGCCGCTTACATGTCGGTCCCCTGACCCCCCCTCACTTCCTTTCATTCGTTTTGCAATGCACGTGCTGCTAGCTGTGACCGCAATTGCATCCGCAGCGTGAGAGTGTCACCGTCCTGGCGAGGAGTGGGTGCCTTGCCATAGCCCCACACCAGCTGCACGGGCTAGGACAGCCCATGGTGTGGGCAGCTGTTTGTTCCTGCCTCTGCCTGCGCTGCTTCAGCACACATTTGCCGTGGGCAGCTGGCAATTCAAGTGATGATCTCGGGGCTCTCCTCCAGCTCCCTGCCCACCTCTTGCCTGCACCGTGGCGGCAGAGGGCAGCGTGGGGTTTCGCACAGCGTGCTGTCCACGCTGGGCTCAACCCCACACTTTAATCGCATCGTACCCTACCTGGCTGCTCCTTCATTTGGGCGGGACAGCGAGGCCTAATGCTGGGCCCAACCCCACACACTCACATGATGGCCTGGGCGCGCGGCGACATCTTGCTGAGGTCGAGGTGGTGCTTGCCGGTGGCAGCGGGGCCCTCGGGGGCATATGCTGGGGCCGCCGCGGCGCTGGCCTGCGGGGCGTTTAAGGAAGGAGGCAGGGGCGCTCCTTTCGCGGCTCTCGGCTGCCAGCACATGCCATGGAAACATGTACATGTATGGTGCATGCAGCCAGCAGGCTCCTCGTGCCTTGGGAGCCTCGGCGGTGTCGTCTGGGTAGAGGCGGGGCTGGCCGGAAGGCGGGGACCCTGCACAGCGGGCAGGGCCTCAAGGCAGGCATGGGCAAGGGTGCCCAGCTTCCTGTGGATGGACAGGGTGCTTGCATGGCAGCACACACCTGGGTAGTGATCATGCGTCGCCCAGTCGGGCTCGCCCGCAGGTGCGGCGGCCGCCGCGGGCTGGCGCGGGTGGGGGTGGTGTGGCAGCCCCGCCACATCCTCAATCTTCTCTCCTACCTTGCGCAGGCCCTCCATGGGTGCGTGCTTCGGCGGCAGGAGCGGCAGGCAGGTGGGGTGGGGCAGCAACGTTGGTAGGGCTGAGGGAGGGAGGCGGCGACTCTGGTTTTGAGCTGGAATGCTTTCAGACAGCACGAAAGAGCCGGTCCAAGACGAGGGGGTGGAGGGTGGCACCTTGCGGCACCTCAGCACGCAACGCAGGCTCAAAATGAATCGTCCTCCGAGGACCTCTTATCACTGAAGGTGCATCACGCTTATCATAACTGCGGCAGGCGCCCCGCCTCGCATCCCGGCCTCCCTATCACAACACTCTCCGCGCTTCTCCTCGCGCCTCGCTCTCCTCTCCAAGGCACTCGCAGATGCCTCCCAAGCGGAAGACGGCAGCAGGAGCAGCAGCAGCCGCAGCAGCCGCTGCCGGCGGCGGGGGGCGGGCGGCGGGCGGCGCAGATGGCCTCGTCTACCGCCACTGCTTCCTGCAGGCCATCATGGGACGGCAGTACCTCAAGGAGAGCGACGCCAAGGAGCTGTACCGCCAAATCACCGGCGCCGCGCACGGTGCGCACCGCAGGAGCCGCAGGCTTGGCCAACTCGAGGGCACGGCGGCACGGGTGTTGCGTTGTCCTCCGCACCTCTGTGCCCTGAGCCTCACTGCCGCATTGAACTCTTGATGAATCTTGCCCTGCAGACGGCAACTACCTGCACTTCATGGCAGACATCAACCAGCAGCTCAACTTTGCGCAGTTTGAGCTGCGGCGCGTGAAGTATCCAGTGCGCCCCGCCTGCGCCCTTGCGCCTGCGCCTTTTCTGCATACGGCTCGCAGATGATCCAGGCTGCCCCAGCCTCAGCTGCATCGCACGCTGCAATGCACCCACCTGGGGGAGCTCCGCCCCAGCCTGGCATGGCCCGCCTGCCGTCCACGGCACCTGCTGCCGTGTCGCCTTTGCGCACACTTCCATTGTTGCCGACCGCGCTGCCTGCTGCCCGCCGCCAGCAGGGCGACGGCGAGTGGTACCTCGGGTTTGTGAACCGCGAGGGCGATGAGCCCAGCAAGCGGGCGACCAAGTACCGGGGCGCCAAGGACGGCAAGCCCGACACACGCATCACAGCCTACTTCCGCGCACTGGTGGGTTGGCGGGCCGGCGGGTGGCTGGCGGGAGAGCTGGGTGTGGCAGGCAGATGCTGCCGAGGCTGTGGCTGCCGAGCTGCCCCACGCATGTCCCAGCCTCTGTGATGTGCGCACAGCTCCTCCTGACTGTGCTGGCCTGTGCCTGCGCCTTTGCCAGTCCGCTGTACGCGCGTTCCCGCCGCACTGTTTGTGCTGCAGCTTGACCAGATGGTTGCATCCTCAGCGGCGGACCAGGGGCTTGGTTACCTGACCTCGCAGCAGGCGCTGTACATACAGATCAGGTGCGGAATGGTGGTGATGCTCATGTGGCAGCCCGCGCCAATCGTCGCGCGTCTTTGTGCTGCTGCTGCGAAGGCTAGTGGCTTGATGCTGTTGCACAGCTTGCGACTGCTGTGCCGCAGCCCGGATGCGGCCACGCAAGCAGAGGAAGAGGAGGCGGCGGCGGTGCGGCAGCAGGTGCTCTCCTCTGGATGCCGGGATGCGCTGCTGCTTGGCGGGAACTGGCAGCTGCCCATCATGCTGCCAGCTTTTTACTGGTGTGCATGGATCGTGCGGTGCATGTGACAGTTGGGGGTACGCTGGCAGTACAGGCGGGCAGCGTGCCCACAGCAGCTTTGCTGCTTACCTGACACTGCTGTTCATGTGTGTGACTGATACCTGCCGCTGCCTGCGCAGGCGGATGAGGTGCGCAAGCTGTCCATGAAGGAGCGGGAGACGGTGCTGGCGCAGCTGGCGACAGACGGCTGGCTGGCGCACATGCCCAGCAGGGCGGGCTGCTACACGCTCGGGGTGCGCAGCACAGCGCAGCGTGATGGTTGGTTGCTGCTCTGTTTGGTTGCCGGCTACCCAGTGCCTGTCCCTGCCCTCACTCCACGCCTTCCCCGTGCCTGCCGCTGTGTGCAGCCGCGGTCGTTCCTGGAGTTGGCGCAGGCGCTGGAGGGCATGGTGCACTGAGGAGCCGGCAGGGAGGCAGGCGGCGGAATTGGCGCCGGCGCCGTCTGGCGGGCGCCGCTCTTTCCAGCTCCCGCCGCACATCTGCACGGGCCTCCCTTGATGCTGCATTGTCTCAGCACTTGTAACAGCACCCTGTGGAAATAGCACGAAGCTGCAAGCAACCCATTCGTCTACATTTGGCGCGATGGTGGTTGGACGGCGGTTCAAGCGCGCTCTGACCTTCCGCAACCCATCTGCACGAGGTAAGGATGTGGCGGGGTGCCCTGCATGGGCGAGGGATCCCTCCTCTTGTTCGCAATTGCGAGATTGACACAGACGCGTTTGTGGCGCCCGTGCAGGCCCGGCTGAGGAGGAGCCCCCACAGACCAAGCCCAAGGTGCAGAGGGACTCCGGCTGGCTTATCAAGGTGAGCGCAGACCTGCTGTGTGCCGCGGCGGCGCCGCCCATCTGCAGATGCTCCCTGATGCTTACAAAGGCCCCTTACTCCTTTGTCCTTGCTGCATTGGCAAGTGAAGGCGCTGGGTGGGCCACACAAGCGCGTGCAGCCGTCGGAGTCTGACAAGGCGGCGACGGCAGCGGCGGCGGCGGCGGCGGCGGCAGCGGACGCGGACATCGACTGCTCCACCGCTCGCGCCGCCCAGCCTCTGGCCTTTGGCTGGCTGCGCCGCCCCTTCAGCCGCTGGGACAGCAGCAAGCTGTCGCAGGACAGCTCCGCGGCGGCCGCCGTGGAGCAGGCGGACGGCGCAGGGCTGTCCTCTGCAGGGCCGTCGCTCGCCGCCTCCTCAGCATCCAGCGTGGCGGAGCCTGCAGAGCAGGCACAGGACTGCCAGGCCCCGACTGCAGCTGGCGGCGAGGCCCAGGCCGCAGCAGACGGCGCCGCTGACCCCGCTCCCGAGGTGGAGTCCGCTTCCACCGCGACACCCACCAGCGAAGCTTCCAGCTGGCCCGCACCGCCGTCCCCTCCAGCACTGTCGCCGGCCTGGGCCCACCTAGCGCCCAGCCCGGCACAGCCAGAGTCGCCCGGCTGGGGCGGGCTGCGCCAGCAGCACAGCCACCAGCCGGCCGCCGACGGCAGAAGCCACCACGTCAGCCTGCCACGCCTGGGTGGCAGCACCAGGCTGGGCGTGCACGAGGCGGTCCCCAGCGATGCGGCGGGGCAGGGCAGGGGCCTGCGCCGCCGCGACAGCCAGCAGTCGCTGCCCCTCCTGCCCGGCTCCAGCCGTGGCAGCTCCCAGGCCGAGCGGTTGCTGCTGCTGCCTCGCTCCCAGTCCCACCTGCTGCGGGAGCCTGCAGTGCCTCGGCCCCAGCCCCAGCGGCAGCCACGAGCCTCAGAGGAGCAGCAGCAGGCTGCCAAGGACCCCAATCCCCTGCCTCTCTCCCTGCACACCAACTGGCTGTACCATGCGCGGGGCGGTGTGGAAGCTGAGCTGGCGACAGCGCGCGCTGAGCTGGCGGCGGCGCGCAAGCTGGCGGCGCAGCAGGCGCGGCAGCTGAGCCGGGAGGCCCAAGAGCTGGAGCAGCTGCACCGCAGCCTGCCGGAGGCCAAGCGTGAGCGGCGCCCTGCTCCCTTGTGCTCACCATGTCGCTGCTGCTGCCGCCAACAGCTGCCTGATGCGTGAATGGCTGACCGGGGCTTCCCTATGCCTCTGCCTGCCTGCAGGCCAGCTGGTCATCGTTGAGGAGCGGCTCCAGGCGTCCACCGCCCGGCTGGAGCAGGCGCGCGGCCAGCGCGCGGATCAGCAGGTGGAGGCCGCCGCGCAGCTGGCGTCGCTGCAGCGCCAGCTCGCGGCCGCGCTGCCCGCCTGCTGCCGGGTGCTGGAGGGGGCCCGCGCAGGGCTGCGTGCCGCTGAGGAAGAGCAGGCGGTGGCCCAGGCTCAGCTGGCGCAGGCGGAGGCGGCGGCGGAGGCGTGGCGCAAGTACCATGGCCGCATGGTGTGCCTGCACCGCCCCGGCCCGCGCAAGGATGGGCGGCGCTCGGACAAGGGCCGGGCGGCGCGGGCGCCCTACTGGCACGGCACCGCGACGGCGCTGTCGGGCCTGCCATGCCAGGCCAGCTGCAAGGCTGTGGCTTGATCAAGCTCATGAACTCACGACTCAGAACTAGCATTATTCCGAATTCTGGATGGAGGAGGAGCAGCAGGATACACTGGTTTTACCGACCAATGATACATTCACTGTAAAGCTAAGAACCTTAGGCCTTTTAAAGGAGCGAAAACTTGTAGGTGTGCTGCGCTGGCGGCGCTGACGCCGCAGCGTGCCCACTGGGCTCCCTGGTGCGCCTTCCTCTGTCCTCCGAATTTCCCTGCCTCCCTTCTGGCTTGCGCTCAATACCTGGCCTGCCAGCCGTCTCGTGTACACGCACCAAGGGGCCAGAAGGTGCGCACGGCCGCCTTGCCGCACGGCAAGGCGGCCAACTGCACATGCAGGCTGCGAGCATGACTGCCTGGCAGCGGGTGGCCGAGTAGGGGCGGCAGCGGTGTGGGGGCCGGATTGCAGCGGCCACGCCGGAGGCTGCTCCTCTCTCTTCGTCTCTGCAGGCCGCCTGTTCCTTGCAAACATGTCGGGCTCGCAGCTATCTGGAGGCTCTCCCGAGAAGGCGCTGTTTCTTGCCCTGGCCAACGGCGACATGGCAGCGGCGCGGTCTCTGCTGGACAGCGGGGTGGATGTCCGTGTGATTTTCAAGTCTAAAAAGCAGCAAAAGCCAGAGTGGTAATGGTTTAGAGAGGATACGGATCCCACCTACCGCAAGCGCGTCGGCATGCTGCATGCCGCAGCAGCCGGCGACTGCCCAGAGGCGGTGCCGCTGCTGGTGGCGGCTGGGGCAAGCGTGACGCTGGCAGCTGTCAACGCTGCCATTGCTCAGGGCAGCGTAGAGGTGCTGGCAGCGCTGCTGGCAGCGGCTCCACCGCCACCAGTCCCTCCAGACGCACTCTCCGATGTATACTGGCTTGGTGAAGACGTGGCATGCCCCCTGCTGCACGTGCTGCGGCACATCTCCTTGATCGGGCCCCGGCGCTCGGCTCGAATGGTGGAGCTGCTGCAAGCTGCTGGCTACAGGCCGACCACCTATCCTGAAGGCGTGGGCGTCACAGAAGGCGACGTCATCTACTCGGTGTGCAGCAGCACCGATTGGTGGTGGTGCATGCCTGACTGAAAAATGGCTTGCGGGAGCATTTGCAGGTGCAGCTGGAGCCTCCTGCTGGTTCGTCGCTCACAAGGGTTCAAAACGCTGGCCTGCCGCCCTGCCTGCAGACAGATGAGAGCTTCTGCCCGGCACAAGTGTGGGGCCTGGGGCTGGAGGCGATGGGGTACGAGCTGGACGACAATGTGGGGTTGTTGAAGGATTCCGCTGGGTGCCCGCACGGCGACCCTCCCTTCCCAAGCAGGTCGGCTCCGGCGGGGTGCCTTGCACCTGCCGGTGGCTATGTCTGGAGGGCCGTCCATCAGTCCCATGCCACACGCATGCATGTACTGCCGCTGCAGGATGCTGTGGATGCTGATGAGCAGCCAGATGCAGCAGTGGAGCCCCGCCGCCCACCAGCACTGGCCGCCGGAGTTCAAGGCGGCTGTGCCCACTCTGCTGCTGGCGGCCCGGCGGGGCGCCACCGTGCAGAGGCAGCAGGATGGCATGCACGCTGGCCGTCGCACCACGCCCAGCCGTGACGCACAGAAGGCAGCGGAGCAGCAGCCCAACCTGCTGTCCCTGGTGCCTCCAGAGTTTCTGATGGACGTCATCAGGCTGGCCGCCTTCCCCCTGTCGGCCTGGGTGCCGCAGTGAAGAGACAGATTTCAGGAGCCGCCCTCTGCCATCCACTCTGTCTGCCACCACCTCAACTGTTGTGCGCATGCCTTTACAAATTCCTGCTGAGCTGGGTGTGTCGCTTACAGGCGCACGGCAAAAACGCCTGGCCCTGCGGCGACGACGAACGAACGGCAGCCTGGCTGCAATGCCTGCTCAACCGTTTCGGGGACGTTTTCTGTTATCTGTCTAGCAGGAGAGAGGGAAACCACTGTGAACAACTGGGACACATCCAGTTAAAAACTGCGATGTGCCTCGCTTGGCAGTGCAGTGCGAAGGTATCGCACCAGGGAGCAAGGGGGAAGGAATTGAGTGCTGAGAATACTCTCAACACAAACAGGAGACAGGAGTAGAGGGGGGGCGGTGCGGTGCGGAGAAAAATGTGGCTGGCTGCATCCTGAAACGGGGCGCGGATTTGGTCAGCGGTGCAAGAATGGAGAGGGGAAAAAACGATCGCGGCCTGCCTGGCACGACCTAACGCCAGGCTAGCCGAGACGGATCAGGTAATCAAACACACGCACACACGCTGTAGCGCAGTGATCACAACAGGGCGGCTGCTGGGCGGGGTCGCCGAGCGGGCAGCATGGCGGTACTGGCAGTACCACGGGGGCGTCAGATGACGGTGACAGCGGGCTGCTGCTCCTGGCGAACCACCGCCGCCGCGTGGGCCACCGCGTCCGCCATGTTCACATGCACGTTCTCCTCCTTGATCTTGTGGATCAGCTTGGAGCGCTTGAGCTGCAGCAGGGCCTGCAGGGCGGAGGGGAGCTCGGAGGAGGATGGGTGAGAAGAGAGGAGGGCCCGGGCGGGAGACGCGAGGCTGACGGGAACTTTGTGTGTGTGGGCGTGTGGCGGGTGTTGGAGCAAACGGCCAGGCGGACAACATCGCTGCGCTGCCGGCGACGCGCCCCACACATCCCTGCCTCTGCCAACCGCTGAGCCCGGCCAGCCGGGTGTGCAGCCAGGCAGCAGGGGCGCACCTGCTGGGAGGGGTTGGCCAGCACCAGCTCGATCCCGTCCTGCGCCAGCTCATCGATGAAGTCGTCTGCAGCGGAGGGGCAGGGAAGGTGGGCGGGCACAGGGTGGGCCATGGGGCGGGCGGCCACAGGGTGTGCCACACCCTGTAGACCGCCTCCACGCCCACCTGCACACCCACGACACCCCACCACGCCCCACCCCACCACACACCCTGCCCCCGCCACCCACCCACCCAGGAAGTGCATGGCGGAGGAGTCGATGTCGGTGACGGGCGACATGTCGATGACCACAAAGCGGATGTGGTCCCCCATCTCCTCGCGCCGCCGCCGAGACGCAATCACCTTGTCCCGCACAAACTCCTTGATGCTCTGCGGGGGCGGGGGGTGAGGGCGGAGGAGGCAGGCGTGGCAGGGTGAGGGCAGGCGTGGCAGGGCGAGGGCGGCGCAAGGCGAGGCCGCAGCGGGGCGCGGGCGCCTGGGCGCTGACGGCTGGCGAGTGTGAATCCCAGCTGCTGCGCTGCTGGCGCTTGCCTCGATGTTGCAAAAGATCATGGGGGCTGCAGGACAAGAGGGGCGCAACAGACAGGAGGGAGCGTCAGGTGGCAGCCAGTAGCAAGCCAGCAGTGTGCATGCCACATTCGCCGAGCGCATGAGCGTGCAGCTGGGGCACGGCACGTCGCGGCTGCCGGGCTCACCGTCCACACGCATCATCAGCATGCCTGACTGCAGCTCGGCGTTGGGGTACATCTTGGTGCTCCTGGGGCAGGGGGGAGGCAGGGGGGAGAGAGGCGAATGCTTCGGAAAGTGGGCAGGGCAGGGCATGAGGGGCGAGCGGCGGGGCAAACGACAAGACGCACGGCAAGCAGTTGGAAGTAGCAGTCCTGCCGACCGCAGCACTCGGGCCACCACCATGCACACACTCCCCCTTCCCTCCCTGCCCACACACACCCAGCACAGCACGCACCTGTACACCTCTGTGCCCGGCAGCTTGCCCAGGGTGGTGATGCGGGGGAAGGCGTTCTTGTAGATGACGAGCAGCAGGGAGACGCAGACGGAGACGATGATGCCAATCTCCACCCCCAGGAAGATGGTGAACAGAAAGGCCACGTTCCACACCTGCTTGCGGCATGTGCGTGGGTGGGAGGGGGCCTGCCAGGCGGGCGGAGCAAGCCAGGCAAGCCAAAGCCTGCACCCAGGCATCTGCGGCTGGGGGATGCACGACCACACCCCCTCCAGCAGCTCCCTACAGCAACCCGGCGGCCATGCCCACCAGCAGGTCGAACTTGTTGGTCCTCCACAAGTAGATGAACTCGGGGTAGTCGACGAGGGCGAGGACGCCCACGATGATGATGGCGCCCTGCGAGGCGGTGGGGCAGGCAGGCGGGCGGGGTGTGGACAGGGTGGCGCAAGCCAACACACAGGCCAGGCTGGCCGCTGCAATCTCCCTTCCACCCGCATGCGCCACCCTCCACCACGGCCGTCCCTGGCCCCCACCTGCACGTTCTGGCTCATGTTTGTAAAGATGGAGGTGAGGACCAGCAGCACCATCATCACCACGAGGCCAGTGATGAAGTTGGCAAGAGGCGTCTTGGCCCTGCAGTGCACAGGCCGGGGCGGTGGCGAGATGGCAGGTGGGGAGGGGGTTATGGAGGCCTAGGCAAGCGTGGCTCTGCGCCGCGGAAACGCGAGGGCAGACGAGGAGAGCAAGGCCGCTGCAGAACGAGGCGCGTACCCCACGGCGTTGTTAACAGCGGAGCGCGAAAAGGAGCCTGTGGTGGTGTAGCTGCAGAGGGTGAGCACAGGCAGAAGCAATGGGGTACACACGCAAGGCCTGGAATGGCACATACAGGGCAGCAACTCTGCTCCCAATCCGAGGCAGGCACGCTGGGCAGGCTGCCAGGCGTGGCTCACCAGTTGAATGCCGCCCCTGCCAGGTTTGCGATGCCAAGGCCCCTCAGCTCCTGGGTGGCATTCAGAGTGTACTTGTTGCGCTGCGGGGAAGGGGCGAAGGCAGGTGGCAGGAAGGGATAACGTTGAGCAGGCCGGGCGGAGCACACAGGAAAATGCCGCCGCACTTCTAATTGCCACGACCGACAGCTCCTGAACCACACCCGCAGCAACCACCCTCCGCCTGATCTCGTCCAGCAGCCCCCCTGATGAGCACTCCCACCTGCGCCAGCGCTTTTGCAATGGATATCGACTCGCAAATGTCGATGAAGCAGATGAGCACGGCCAGCACCATCTGCTTGCCCACGTCGTACAGAGGGGCCCACCAGCCTACGGTAAAGGCAGGGAGGCCCGACGGGATCTTGCCGATGTTGGCAATCGCCTTCTGCTTCTTCTCGACGCCATCGGAAGTCACCACCACCCCGGTGTAATCCTCATACCTGCGGCAGTACACTGGTTGGTTGGTTGGTTGGTTGGTGTTGATTCGCTAGTGGAGACGGGGGGCCATGTGCGTGAGCATGCAGCCCCCCGAGAGCATTTGCCACGGCAATGGCAAGTGGCGGCGGGGTAGCGTGGGGAGCACCGCCGGCCAAGTGGCCCGGCACAGCAACTGCATGATGCTTGCACAACCGGCAGCCCAGCAGGCGCTCACCAGTGGAAGATGTTCATGAGGGCGATGGAGATGATGCACACGGTCATCGGGCCCAGCGCCTTCATAAATGTCAGCCGCCTGAGGTGGGGCCGAGCACAGCGTGACACTGGGGGCTGGCGATCTCGCCTTCCATGGAAGCAGGTGAAGCGGCAGGGTAGCCCAGCCATACGCATGCACTCCGCCACCCCTCGCGCAGCTGGACCCTGCAGCCTGCACCGCACCTATACTTCTGGGATAGGAACTTGAAGGCCAGCAGCAGGAAGATGAAGCTCATGCCCATCAGAAACTCCCGCCAGCTGCTCAAGGGGGACAGCAAGGACAGTGTGTCACGGGGGCAGCAAACGTGACGAGGGCAGCCCGAGGCAGCAAATGCGACGAGGTGTGCGGGACAGTAGCATCCGCGCCGCCATGTCATGCTCACTTGAACTGCCACAGGTTGTCAAAAATGAGTTGGAGGTACTCCTGGATGCGGTCTGCTCGCGGAATGGTCAGCCCTAGGATGTACTTGACCTGTACAGTACATGAGATGCGGTACAGGAGGGTGGCACAGGACGGTGCGGCAGCAACAGTGTTGAACTCCAGTTCACTCCAATTGTTTCATTGAAAGTGGCGGGCAGAGTCGGCTGGCAGTGCAAACGCAGCCGGCAGGCAGGCGAGCGGGCAGTTTGCGCACAGCAAAGGCTCGAGGCACAGATGGCGGCGGCAGGAGCGCACCTGCGAGAGGCCAATCAGGATGGCTGCGCCCGTCATGAAGCCGCTGACCTGGGCGTGGCTCAAGAAGTTGGTGACCCAGCCTGTATAGGCAGCAAGCAGGGCAATGAGCAGGCGCAAGGATGCTGCCTGTGGGCGAGACAAGCTCCCATGTGCCACACGCTTCAGCGCTTCAGCACAGGGCGTGGAGGCAGAGGCTGGCCAGCACACACAGCTGCTGCTGCCCGTCACTCACCCATGCGCAGCAGGCCCACGCCAGTGTAGAAGCATCCCACTACAAAGGCAACCTGTGGGGAGGAGGAAGGCATACAGGTGCTTAGGGAGACGTGTTGCAGCCAGCCGCCCTGTCCTCTGCCTGCCCAGATGCATGTAGTTGCGCCTGACCCACGCCATGCCAGCACGGCACCTGAATGGCTGCATGGTTGTACCGCTCCTGTAGCTCAGGGTCTGTGGGGTTGTTGGGGTCATCGTTGGAGCCGATGATGCTCTCTAGGCCTGCAGGGCAGGCGAGGGTGCCGAATGAGATACCCACAGAGACAGGGCTTGTACAAACAGCGGTTGAGCCTACAGAATGGCAGCACAAGCTGCGGCCCATGAAGAGGCACGGGGTCGGTGCTGCCAGCAAGCGGGGGGGGACTGACCATTGGCAAGCATGATCGAGGTGACAGCCACAGGGCCTGCAGCATAGGTGCAGACCAGCCGGTGAGGTGTAACCCATGCAGTACCAAGGCACCCCTGCTCGTATCCGAGACGGCTGCAGCACCGCCCACAGGGAGGCCGGCAACAGCAATGGGACAGCCCGGCGCCAGCATCTCACCAACAGCCAGTTGCCGTGAGGAGCCAAGCAGGGCGTAAGCGATGCAGGGCACAAATGCGCCGTACAGACCGTATTCTATTGAGCCAGCGGGCGCAACAGGGCAGACGAGTGAGATGAGGGCAGCTGGGGGTCCAGGTGGAGGCAGCAACATGAGTTACATGCAGCCGTCCCAGCAGACCCCAGGAGGGCGAGGGGCGCACCTTGTGGGAGGCCCGCCAGCTTGGCATACGACATGCCCTGAGGGATGACCATGGCTCCCACAGACAGGCCGGCAGCCACATCACTCTGCCAGTGGGGTGGAGAGGTAAGCCGTACTCAAGAGAGGCCCGAGAGAGCCAGGCGTGCGAGTGCATGGCAAGCCGCCGGCTGTGGGCTGACCAGCAGCAGCAAGTAATGCAGCACACGCTCCACACCAGCATCCACATGCAGAGCTGCCACCAGGCAAGGTTTCCAGCTGCCAAATCGCGGCGGGGCGCACCAGCAGCCAGTTGCGCCACTCGTATGTGCGCAGCCAGACGAAGCATGGCAGGAAGTAGCCCAGCCAGTCGTACCATCCAAAGCCCCGAGTATTCTCTCGGTACCTGCCACCAGGACAAGATGGGGTTGCCGCAGGAGCAGCAGCTCCAACGTGAGGTTGCAGGCAGCAGGCAGGCAAGTGGGCACTTGCGCCTGCCTGGCGCAGGGTGGCAGCCCCTACCGAACATGCTCAGATGAAGATGTTCACAGCCAGCTGCCCAGCAGCGCAAGACGCAGCAAAGCACAACAAACCCTCACTTGCTGCGCTGTTCTTCCAGCATCTTCTTGGCCTGGCTCAGCAGCGGCTGGTCCTGCAAGTCGTTGACAGGCACCCGGCTCTCCACTCGCTTCATCGAGCCGGTGGGTGTGCCAGAGCGGCGCGGCACCGCATCGCCGTCGGACACGCCGTTCCCGTTCACCACGCCATCGAAGCTGCTGCCGGTGGCCTTGTCTGATATCGAGTCGCGGTCGCTGTCGGCTGGCATGCTGCCGCGCAGGTCTGCAGGGGAGGCGGGCGCAGCAACAGCAGCAGCGGTTGTTGGCGGCGGCGGCGGCCGATTTGGTCGGCAGCGGCCGACCGCCTTGGGGCCCATGGAACACGACTGGCTCGCACGCAACGGAGGGATGCACCCAACGGGAGGCTCAACAGCACGGGAGGCCCAACACAAATTGAGTGGGCAGGGGGGTGGGCCTTTCAGCCTCCGGAACGGTGCCCAAATAGACACATCGCCGCCACGGATTAACCTGTCGTGCCCCTCACCTCAAGGGCCGCAATGGAGCGAGGCCCAGTCCCCAACTCCAGCCAAACGCGTGTGTGGCTCACCGGTAGTGCAACGCACTGCTGCAGTGAAAGCGGAACATCAAAGGGGCAAAATGCAAAACGGGAGGGAAGTGCAAGCAAATTTCAGCGTTCCAGCAAAAGTACTGTACCGGCGCCTGCCGCACAGTCCAACTACCTCCATCCCAGCACACCGGACGACCGGAAACACTTGCCAAACCGTCTTCAGGAATGATTACACAGGCAACGGAACGAGAAACGAGCTCAAAGCAACGATGCCACGGCATGTTGACCACGTCGCCATGGGTTCAGCGCGCGCCCCGTGCGACATCTTCAGGTTGAAGCCATCTACCTCCTCCGCATTCATGCTGCTGTCTGGAACTGGGATGCTCTCCTGCCACATACTACTCCATGCTGCCCTCCAGCTGGCTGAGCTGCTGCCGCACGCGCTGCACCGCGGTCGCGTCTGTGGCGTGCTGCGTCCAGTCGTCGCGCCCAAAGCTCACACAGGAGTGGCGGTACGCCATGCGGCTGGGTATGCTGCGCTTGAACGTGCCGTGCACCTCGCTGCAGCCTGCCGGCAGGGGCCGCAGCGGGGGCGTGGGGAGGAACCGACGAGGGGGAACTGCGCCTCCCGTCTATAGCGGGCGCTGCATGCATGGCATGGCTTGGCACAGGCAGAAGGCAGGCTCACCCGTCACCCGCACCACCGTGGCCGCATTCTCCTCGCTCACCCCGCCCCCCGGCATCACGCTGATGCGGCCGCCGCCCTCGCCCACCAGCGCGGCCAGCTGCTGCAGGCCCTCCATCACGCACTGCTGGCCTCCCGACGACAGCACGCGCCGCACTCTGCACGACACCAGGTCGTCCAGCGCTTTCCTCTGGTCCTTGACCAGGTCAAACGCCCGGTGGAAAGTGAGGTCCAGCCCTGTGGATGCGGAAGTGGGCAAGAGGCGAGGGCAAGCGGTGACGAGCAGAGGAGTGGGGTGCCGTGCGCTCCAAGCGCAGGCTGAGACAGGCATGGCGCAGCACACCACCCGAGCCGGCAGGGGTGCTGGGCCCTCCACCAGGACAACACCTAGCGGTGCGCAGAGGTCCACAAACTGCCGCAGCTGGTTGGTGTCTATGCTGCCGTCCGCGCTCAGCATGCCCAGCACCACGCCGTGCGCGCCGCAGCTGGCGGCGTGCAGCACGTCGTGCCGCATGATCTGTGCAGGGCGGCAGGGCGGGAGGCGCTGTGGTGGTGGCCTGGCGGGGGCGACTGCTGTGTTGCCTGGCAGCACAAGGCGCCCACCTGCAGCTCTTGTTGGCTGTATATGAAATCGCCAGGGCGGGGCCGGATCAGGACGTGCACCCGTGCCGTGGTCAGCGAGCGGCACACGACAGAAATCAAGCCTGCACACAGCAAGCGGAGCCGCCTGGCTGGTCAGGTGGCCTCCAACGCTGCTAGCAACTTGTTGTGAGCTCATCCCCACATCTACCCCCACCAAAACAAGGTGCCCATGGCCGCCGCCAGGGAGCCGCTGCCGCACTTGCCGTGGCTGGGCGTCACCCCGCCCTCTTGAAGGCAGCTGCACAGCTCGACTCTGTCGGCGCCGCCGCTCTCAGCCTCCAGCGCCGACTGCAGCGAGTCCACGCACACCTCCACCAGCATCCTGTAGAGCGACAGGCCGGCACCCGCTTGCTTGTGGCACTTGGCGCTCGTCAGCGTTGCCCGCCAGGGCCCATGTGCGGCGGCGGCGGCGGCGGCACTGATGACCGCCCCCTAGCGGCGCGCGGTCATGTGTCAATCAGCGGTGGCCTTGAGTGCGCTGGAACGTCACTGCCATTCACAGCCTTTGGCAGCCCGACAGCGAGACGGCAACACCCGCTTGCTTGGGGTCACAAGCTTGTTTTTGATCGCAAGTCTGCGTGAGTGACTGAGGATGTGGCGAGAGCGAGCTTAATCAGGAGACTGAGCAAATGACCGCCGCCGCCTGTCACTTAGCGCGCAAGCCATACCGCCCAGCGGGCCGCCGAACTGCACCAGGTCATCATGCTCTGTTTCAGTTACATCGAAATCACACAGAAAATCACATGCAGGAGCCCCCCCCGGGTTCCATCCATCTCTTGCCGTCGACAGCCCCGCTCCCAGACCGCTCCAAGGGCACACCGTCTAGCCGTCACATGGCGGCTTCTGCAACCAGCAGCCTTTTCATCGTCTTGAGGGACTGGGCAGCAATCGAGCAGCCTTTGTGCATGCGTGCAGAGCAATGCGCTCACCCGCGTCCTGGCCGGCGGCTCCCATGTCTGCCGCAGCGCCGCCGCTCGCGCCCCCAGCCAGCGGCCGCCCTCGGGCGCCGCCGCCAAACCCGGCCGCAGGCACCTCCTGGCTGCCTGGCGGCGCCCCAGCGCCGGCCCCCACTTCGCTCATCGGCTTCTCCGAGGCCGGCTCAGCTGCGCCGGGTCCCTTGTTTCGGGCGCTCACATCAGCGCCGCTCAGGCCCTGCCCCTCCCGGCCGCTCTCGCCGCCTAACGCCGCCGCCAGGCTGCCTCCCGCTGTGCCTGCCAGCCCTTGCGCGCCCAGCACGCCCGATCCAATGCCGCCCACGGGGCTCTGACCGCCCCCAACACCTTCCTGCTTTCTCTCTGTAGATATACTACCCAGGCTGGAGCCAGGCTCTAGCTTGAATCCAAGGTGGGGTTGGCCGCCCCAGGAACAAGGAGCTGTCAGATTGCCATTGAAACCAGGGTGCCAATATTACAAGGTAGGCCATTTCAAGAGGAAGAAAGAACAAGGAAAGAAAGGGCAAAGCCTGCATTTGACACAGGCTGGGGGCCAGTGCTCGAAGCAGCACACACTGGTGCTCCTTGCGAGTTAAGGATACAACTAATATTAGTGAAAATGATGTGCGCTCGGTGGGGCAGCGCGGCAGGCAGTTGGACCTGCCGCAGCCGGCGAAAATGGGGTGGTTGGCGACGGTACTCCCCGCCTACTAACAAAAGCTCTCAAGGCTGGCCTCCTCAGGGCATGGGCATAAGGATGGGGCGCCAGCTCTGCGGGATCCAGCTGCAGGGAGGAACGGCCGGGGATGGGGCGCAGTGCTCAGATGGGCCTGTGTGTGCGCCTAAGCCACCAGCAGGCAGAGCCCCTGTGCTCAGCCGCAGGCCCCCACCACATGCCATCCATCACAAGAGCCACACTCACTTGATCCAGGGCCCCATCTTGGCCTCCATCTCAAACCGCCGGATCATCTTCCCCGCCCTCTCCGCCTCCGCCTCCAGTGCGCGCTCCGCCTCGGTGAGCAGGGGTGGGGGCGCCAGCTTAGCCTCCCCCAGCTTAGCCTCCTGCGCCAGCTTGGCCCCCTTGAGCCCGCGAGACAGGTCTGCAGGGCAGATAGGCCCAGGGGCGGCGCACACACGGCCAGCCAGGTGAGTGCGGAGTGTGTGTGTGTGTGGTGGGGGTGGGGGGGGCAGGAGGCGGGGCAGGCCAGGTCGCCGCCGAGCTCAGGCGGCAGCGCGGCGAGCGCCAGGCCCCCCAGCCCCACCTCGCTCCAGCACTGTGAAGCCGCGGCCAAAGGAGCGCAGGTCGTTGCCGAGCTCGTACTCCACCTGGCGGGCAGGCGGGCAGGGCGGGGGGCGGAAGCAGAGGAGGTGCTTAAGTGGGAGGCAGGCAGGGAGATGCGTCGGGTGGACAACAATGCAGACCTGAAAGGGCTGCCCCCCACCTGGCTGGCATTTGCCAGCCCGTTCGCCGCGCCCCGCCCAGGCTCACCTGCGCCGCCCTGCGCACAGAGGCCACCTGCAGCCGCTCCGGCAGCGTGCGCTCCGGCGGGTGCGGCGGGCAGCTGTTGTCTGTGACGATGAACTTGCTCCAGTCCAGGCCCGCACGCTCCGCCGCCGCCTGCAGCTCCGGGATGGCCTCTGCGGGCAGCCTGGCGTCCCTGCAGGGCAGGGCAGGGCAGGCAGGTGGCGGTTGGGGGTGCATTGCACCTGGAGGGGCAGCTGCCTGAGCTCCGCAGCTGCTCTGGCGGGAGCTCACGCTGCCAGGGGGGTGCAGGGGCGCAGCCAGCACAGCAGGTCCAACCAGGGGGAGCTGCCCAAGCAGGAGAGGAAGAAAGCCCCTAGCTCACCGGGTGTAGACCGTGGCGCCGCCGTACCCCACCCACGCATCGTTCTGTCCCCTGTAGTAGATGAACACGTACTCGTCGGGCTTGGAGGCCAGCACATACCTGCAGTGCAGGCGGTACATGCGGTACATGGGCGGAAGTCAAACAGGGCAGCATAACGGGGTACTCCCATGGTGTCCGCATCCGGTACCGTTTTGGACTACCGACGACATACACAGCACCACCAAAACACACACAGCCCCGCCACACCCCCACCCACCACGTGTCCTGGTAGTTCAGGAACTCATTGTCCTTGTTGACTAGCACCGCAGGGGTGGCCGCATCCTCCTGCGGTACCACCACAGACAGCGTCAACGCCACCAAAAAGGTGGGCCCGAAAAGGCCCTACTCCCACATGTCACCGTGTCGCCTCCACCTGTAGTGCGTCATCTCCAAGCAAACGCACCTCCGCCCCCGCATGCACACACCTCCACCTTTTATGTTACCTGCACAAAGCGCTGCATGACGGAGCGGTCTATGAAGTCGCGGTCTCCCGTCAGCGGGTCCGTGGAGGGGATGCGCCAGTTGATCTTGGCAAACACCTTGCCTGCACGCGGTGGGAGTGTGTGAGGGGGGTGGGGGGGCGAGGTGTGTGTGTGTGTGTGTGGAGAGTGTGATGCGTGCAGCACGGCAAAGCACAGGGAAGCGGCAAGGGCAGATAGGCGATGCTGAACGCCAACTCCCAGCGCTGCGTGCCTGGCTCGGGACTGGCGAAGAAGTGCTCCTGGCAGTCGAAAGTGTCAAACAGTGGGTTGAGCCCAGCTGCGGTGGCAGGGCAGGCAGAGGAGGACAGGCGTTGGCTTGCGGTGCCAGGCAATGCAGGGTGCCAAAGGCGAGCTCTGGACAATATAGAGGGCTGCACCAAGCTGATCCAAAACCAGGCAGACCCGGGCAGCGGTAGGGCCGGTCAGGCAGCGGCGGGGCCACGCCAGGCGCGCCGCGCACCCGTGATGTACCAGCGACCCTGGAAGGATGACAAGTCGAAGGTGTTGTCCAGCGAGCAGTCGGGGGGCACCGGGAACAGCCCTGCAGGCGACGGAAGGCCCGTGTGTGTGGAGCTCGGCGCACACGAGCACTACCGCAGGCAGGGCATGCCTCCTGTCCACGCCATACGCGGGCTTTTCCCACCGGCCACGCCGACACCACCCTGAGACGCCTGCTGCTTGCACCCAGCCGTCCACCCCAGCTGGGCTTACCCTCGTCAACTCGCTGCGGCACACACTTCTGCTCCGAGATGGCGCAAGCGGTGAATGTCTCCACGGCCTTGTCGGCATACTTATCCCCGCACTTGATCTGTTGGGGCAGGTCGCAGCAGCCACAGCCGGCGGTACATCGGCAACGAGTGCTTCCAGGAGCATTCCCAACAACGTGCAACAAGCAGCCAGGGCGCAGGGAGCATCGGCCTTCCCCACCCCGCTCAAGCACCCACCTGGCATTCTGTCTCATCCGGCCTTCCGTTGCACACTTGCAGGCAGATGAGATTCTCCGCGCAGATGGTGTCGGTGAGGCAGTTTGCCAGCGCCGCCTGGCAGTTCTGCAAGAGGCACGTCCCCACCTTGCTGGTATCTGCCGCATACGCCGCCAGCTGGCCGCTGGGCGCAAGCAGCAGCGCCGCCGAGGCCAGCAGCGCGGCAGCGCCGATGGCGGCGTGCTGCAGAGGTCCGGGCCGCTGCGGCTCTTGCTGCTCCAGCTGCTGCTGCTGGTGCCGGGCCGCAGCCCGCACCACAAGCCGGCGCAGAGGGCGAAGCGGCGCGGCAGTGGTGGGCGCGGCGGTGGACCTGGATGCCTGCAAGCACGGAATCAAGCCACATTGGCATCTCTGAGCTGCGACAAGCCACTGCCACGTTCCCAGCGAGCCCTAGCGCTCCGGGAGAGGGGCCCACTGGCGCACCTGCATGGCTGGTGCCTTTTCCCGCCGCGATGGGTCAGCAAGCTCCCTCAGGTGACGGGCGGCCAGCTGCCGATATGTCGGGACACCACCATGTTTCTTTCCACCCCTAAAATTGCTGCTGGAGGGCTCCTATCAATGATTAGAGTGCTCCAAACGCTTGATCTGAGGTCGCGGTGCACAGAGATAGCACCCCAGCGCGACAGCTGACAATCAATTGCTTGGTGCAGCGTCTGGCTGCTGCTCTGAGTGCACCCGTTTGAGCGATTGGCGTCGATTTTGTGTCCAGGCAAGGAAAATGCCGCCCAGGCGCAAGTCGGCGCTGGAGGACCTGATCAAGCAGGGCTTTGTGGCCGATGGAGAGTTGCTGCGATACAAGGTGAGGCGGCAGGGGGCAATTGAACGGCCCTGGAGTGCAGCGCTGCGCCTCCCACCGCAGCTGTGGCACCCACCCGCCGCCGCCAGCTGATGGGGCGGCGGCCAGGCGGGCACCCTCTCACCTCCTCACACCAGCCCCAGCCCTCACTCCTGCCTGCCTGCTGCCCTTCCTGCCTTTCACTCGCTCCCAGAGCAAGCACGGCCAGCTGATGGCGGTGGGCCGCGCGAGGGAGGGCGGCATCGAGGTGGCCGGCACCAGCAAGCTTCTGGGATACACCGCGTTTGAAGACATTGCAGGTGGGGCCAGCTGCTGGCTGGTGGTGGGACCTGCTGCTGCGCCGCTCCCGGTTTACCCAGCAGTTGGGGGCTGGAGCTTAGTTATAGAGGTACCGTTGAGCACGGATGAGCACGACTGATGGCAGCCATCCGCCCCGCCGCCTGCCCCGCTCGCCTGCCCTGCAGGCAGCAAGTACCACCGCCCCGCGGAGCACACCCACACCACCACGGGGCGCACCCTGCAGAGCCTGGCGCTGCTGGCGGGCGGCGGCGCCGGCGGCGGCGCCGGCAAGCGGGGCGGCAAGGCGGCGCCACCACCGGAGCCTGTTGTGGAGTTGCTCGAGGACGACAATGATGACCTGTGCCACATCTGCGGCCTGGGGGTGCGCCTCCGCGCCGCCGCCCGCCGCCCTGCGCTGCCTGCTGCTGCCTTTGCCGCTGCGCCCCGCGCTGCCCGCCCCTGCTTCCCTGCTGCTGGTTCTCGCCGCTGCCCCTCCTGGCGCTGCCGTTTGCTGCCGGGCCAGCTGCTTTGCCGTGGCGGCAGCGGGAGGCGAGGCGTGCCAGCCACGGCAGAACCCACGCTGGAGCGCTTGGCGTGCCTTTCGCTCGAGCCTCCCTGCCTGCCCCCTCCTTGGCCCCCGCCCCCGCAGGGCGACCTCATGTGCTGTGAGACGTGCCCGGGCGTCTTCCACGCCGCCTGCCTGGGCCTGGCTGCGCCGCCAGAAGGGGACTATCATTGCCCGCTGTGCAGATGCTCCGTGTGCGGCGCCGGTGGCAGCCGTGAGTGACGCTCGCGCACTCAAGCAACTGTCGGCGCGTGCCGGCCTCGCCTGCATGTCGCTGCTGCCTGCGCTGTGGGCACTCTTGGGCCCGATCCGAATCCTCCAGGGTGTGCCGGGCGCGGTGCCTGCCCTGCAGCGCGCCTCCCTCCTGTGCCGCATGCGCTGAAGCGTGCTGTCTTGTCGCCGCCGCCGCTGCCGCCGCCGCTGCTGCTGCAGAGGGCCTCATGCCCACTGGCTGCGAATGGCTGGACTGCGCAGAGTTTGTCGGCCTGCACAGCCTGCAGCGGCACAGCCGGCCCCACATCGCGGCCGAGGCGCCCGGCGCCGCGGCTGCCGCCAAGCCGCAGCCTGCAGCGGCGCCCGCCCCGGCGGCGGCTGCGGGAGCCGCAGGAGAAGGCTCCGGCGCGGGAGCGGCGGCACCCGGCGGCGACTCTGGCGGCGGCGACCCGATGCAGGTGGACGGCCCAGCGCCGGCGGCGGCCGCTGCGGCAGCCGCCGCGGCGGCGGAGGGCGCGGCAGACTTCAGCCGGCTGGCGGCGGCGGCCTGCGGGGCGCCGGCGGTGGTGCAGGCCCCGGCCGAGGCGGACGGCGCGATGGCCGGCGCCGCCGACGCCGATGGCGACGCCGCGGTGCGCTGCCCCGTCACTTGCCGTTGGTCCCACCTGCGCTGCTTCCCCCCAGAGTTTGCCGACACGCTGCGCCAGGGTGGGCCGCAGCCCTGCATCAGCACCACCGACGCGCTGACCGCCAGCAAGCGCCTGGCAGCGGCCTGCGCCGCGGGCGTCATCCCGCTGGGGTGCATGGTGGAGGGGGCACGTGCCACCCCCTCAGCAGGCGAGGTCAGCAGCCGCGCGTTTGCGGAGCTGCCGCTGTCGCTGCTGGTGGTGCGCGGCGCGGCGGCGGCCGCGCCGCGCGACTGCCGCGGCATCGCTCCGGCCTACACGCCTGACCAGCGGCAGGAGCTCCGTGTGGCACTGTCGGCGGCGCTGCACGTGCTGCACAGGTGCGGGGTGCCCTCACGCATTGTTGGAGTGCTCAGCTCTCGAAGCGGGTGTGGCGGGCACGGCAGCCTGGCCAGACATGCAGACTTGCAGCCGCGCGTGCTGCGCAGCGCCTGACCGCTGCTTGCCCGCCGGCCGCTCCTGCCCATTCCATGCTCTGCTCACGCTGTGCGCTCCATCGACCTGTCTCCCGTACCTGCCCCTCTGCCTCACCCGTGCTTGCTCCACCCACCCCTGCCCTGCCTGCCTCCCGCCCGCCTGCAGCTGCTACGAGCCTCTGCCAGACAGCCGCACCGGCGCGGACATGCTGCCTTGGCTGCTGCGCGGCGCGGTGCTGGCGGGCGGCAAGGCGGACTACAGCGGCATGCACACCGCGGTCCTGTTTGCGGGGCCGGCGGCGGTGGCTGTGGGTGAGCCTGCGGCACAGACCGCCGGCTGCCGGCAGCGCCCCTGGCGCTGCTGCTGCATGGTCCCTGCTCCGGCCTCTGCAGCTCGGCACGCAGCTGTTGAGAAACCGCCCTGTGCCTGTTGCACTGTTGTGGTTCTGCTGCCTCTCTTTGCCCCTGCCGCCCTGTCTGCCGTCTGACCTTCCTGGTGTGTGCCCCGGTCCGCCCGCCACCTCCCGCCCCTGCAGCCGTCTTCCGCAGCTTTGGCGACCTGGCCGAGGTGCCGGTACTGGCGGTACGGCCTGAGCTGCAGCGCCGCAACGGCCTGGGCCGCCTGCTGCTGGCGGCTGTGGAGCAGCTGCTGCTGCTGGCGGGCGCAAAGGTGCGGCTTCCGCCTGCCGGCACGCTGGCCTCCCTTATGCATGCATGGCGCCGCGAGCTTCCCAACAGGCAGGCCCTTGGCTGGGCCCAGTGCTGGTCAGCCGCCGCCTGCTGGCCCACACACCTGCCAGGGCTGGCCAACACAACCCCCTGCCTGCCTGCCTGCCTGCAGGCCATCTTCACCCCAGCCTTCACAGCGGACGGAGCGCCCTACATTGCTGTGCCGCCGCCAGCTGCCGCCACTGCCGCTGCCGAGGCGGCGGCCGGCGGCGCGGCGGGCCCGCCGGCGGAGCCGCAGCAGCCGCAGCAGGCGGAGCAGCCTGCGCTGCCGCCGCCGCTGCAAGCCAAGTGGGGTTACAGCCTGGCGCCAGCGGAGGTGATGCAGCAGGTCGTGACGTACCCGCTCGTGCGCCTGCCTGGCGTGCTGCTGGCCTTCAAGCCGCTGGCGGCGCACACCGTGCTGCTGCCGCCGCGCCTGCCGCCGCGCCTGCGCTGGAGCGGCGGGCTCGACCCGCGCCAGCTGCTGCGGCAGGGCTGGCTGGCCTCGCTGGCGCTGCCCGCCCCTCCGGGGAAGGCTGCGGCGGCCGCGCGGCCGCCGCCGGCCCCAGCCCCCGGCCGCAAGGCGGGGCGCTCTCCCAAGGCGGCGGCACCAAAGCAAGAGATGCAGAAGTCGAACATGCCGCAGGCTGCGCCGCCCACAGGCTTTGGCGCCGGCACGGGCTGGGTGCAGCAGCAGCAGCGGCAGCTGGCTCCCGCGGTTGGCGCCGCCGGCGCGGCTGGGGGCCCCACGCCTGCCCAGCTGCAGCAGCAGCAGCAGCAGATGCTGGCCCTCATGTACCAGCAGCAGCAGGCTGCAGCGCAGCGCGCGGGGCAGGCGCCGGCTTACCAGCAGATGCTGCTGGCGCAGCAGCAGCAGGTGGCGCTGATGGCGCAGCAGCAGCCGGAGGCCTATGCCGCACTAATGGCGCAGTACTCTGCGCAGCACCAGCAGCAGCTGGCGGCCGCGCAGCAGCTGCAGCTGGCGCCGGGGCAGCAGCAGCTGCAGCTGGCGGCGGCGCAGCAGCTGGCGGCGGCGGTGCAGCACCAGGGGATGGCAGCGCAACAGCAGCAGCTGATGCTGGCCCAGCAGCAGGCCCTCCTGCAGCAGCAGCAGCAGCAGCAGCGGGCGCCGCAGGGGCCGTCGCTGGTTGAGCGCATGTTGCAGCAGCAGCAGCAGCAGCAGCAGCAGCAGCCCCCGCAGCAGTAGGGCGTCGTGTGAACCTAGCTCCCCACGGCGCTCTCTTGTGATGCCGGCATGCAGTGGGCGGCCGGCTGATCCAGACCCCAACCCTATCATTTGAAATGATTTGCTGGGCCGACAGTGGCTCATTCAGTGGTTTTTCCAGATCATGCCGTCTCATCTGTCCATATGATTGTTGTAAGAGCACACCAGAGCAACAGCGAGGCGGGGTGCAAATGGGGGAGACGAGCAGGCACACGCACTCACATACGCCCGGCGCGACGCCGCCACGTCAGCCGCACCTCCGTGCGCCGCTACTTCTGCCTTGGACGTTGGCACCAGCCACCAGTTCACCGCTCTGTGCCATGCAGGGGCTGCTGCGCTGCTGCACGGCCTGCTCCCTCGCCGCCTCAGCCCCGACCCGTGTGGGGGCGGCTCGCCTGCGCCTGCGCACCATGGCCGCCACAGCAGGCTCCCCCGGCCGCCCCCAGCCGGTCTACGAGGCCAGCAAGCAGGAGTTCGCGGTGAGAGGGCGCAGCCTTGTGGTGGGGCAGCACCTTGGAGCGGTCCGGTGCGCGGCGGAAGCGGCGGCGCAGCTGGCCCGCTACCAAACCAACCACGCGCGTGGGCTTCACCCATCCCTCCCCCATTCTCCCATCACCCCGTGCATGTGTGCCCTATAGGTGCCCGGCCTGGCGGCCCAGAGCCCCTGGAACCAGAAGTCGCTGGCAGTCAAGTACCCGCCCCTGAAGCAGGACATTAAAGCAGACGTGGCGGTCATCGGGGCAGGCATTGCAGGTAGGGTCACGCTCCGGAGTTGGCTGGGCGCAGAGCAGGCGGCCCAGCTGGCGGCTGCCGGGAGGCACCTGAGCATGCGAGGGTGCCGCCGGTACGGGCGTGGTCACGCTGCATTGGGCGCGACGAATGCCTGCGCCCGCGCTGCGCTGCTCCCTGCAGGCCTGTCCTGCGCCTACAACCTGGCGAAAGCGGGTGGGCGGGGTGGGCGCTTGCTGCCGGGCAGCGCCAGCTTGCAAATCCGCTGCTGAGGCGGGCAGTGGCAGCTGTTGCGAAAGGCCCATCCAGCCTGTTGGTGGTAACACCGGCTGCGTACCACCTGATGTGCTGTGCTGCCTGCCTGCCTGCCTCTGCCTGCAGGGAAGAAGGTGGTGGTGCTCGAAGCGCGCACCCGCGGCGCAGGCCAGACCGGAAGGACCACGGGTGAGGCGGCTCCTGGGGCAGCGGTGTGTGCGGCGGGGAAGGCAGGCGCCAGGCTGGCACGCCAGGTTGGCGGACGTGGGAGGCCACTGGCCTGCTTGTGCCACTGGCCGCTCTGCGGCGGCGGCAGCGCATGCCGAGCCAGAAACCATCTCCCCTCTGCTTCCCTGCGCCCCTGCTGCTCCTGGCGCTGCAGCCCACCTCATGACCTGGCTGGATGATTACTTCTATGGTGAGAGTGTGTTGGGAGGTGGTGGGAATGGTGGGAGGGTGTGGGCACGCTTGCCGCTGTTTGTTCGCCTGCTCTCCTGCCTGCCCGGCAAAGGCTGCCTTCTGGTGCCTCACCCACACTCACGCACCCCACGCCCCGGCGTACTCTCACCCACACAGCCCACCGCGCCTGCCCGCAGAGTGCGAGAGCATGCACGGCAAGGAGAAGACGCGACTGGTGGCGGAGTCGCTGCGCGGCGCGGCAGACTGGATTGAGAGGGTGGTGCGGGAGGTGGGTGGGCGGGGGCGGGTCAGCGCTTCCAGGCCCGGCGCCAGGGGGGGCAGGGACCGGGCAAGGCCAGGAGGGCAGCTCAGCGCGGTGTCCGCGGGGTGTGGGTCTTGTAGTGCTAATGCGTGTCGTCCCCAGTGCCAGGAGAGCTGGCCCTCCCCAGACCTTGGGCTGTCGCAGCACTCGCCTTCGCCTGCAACCTGCATGCCATAGGTGCATGGGAAGGTGCTTAGAGCATGGCATGGCGCTCTAAGCATGGCATGGCGCATAAAAGGTGTGGGTTGTCTGGCTGTGGGGTGCAGGAGGGGATCGAGTGCAAGTTCAGGCGCATGGACGGGTGAGCGCCCCCCGCCCTGCCCCCAGCAAAAGGCTCGGGAGCTGCTGCCACTGCCGGCCCCAGGTCTCGCCGCCTGCCGTCGCGCCCAGCCTGCCCCTGCTACCGCCTGCGCTGCCCGCCTGCCGCCATGGCCGCTCCCCCGCAGCTACCTGTACCCTCACGCCACCGGCGAGTCCCCCCAGCCCACCTCTGCCATGTCAGCGCTGAAAAAGGAGCTGGATGCAGCCATCAGGCGCGGTCACGCTGCGCTGCGCTGTGCTGGGCTTGCTGGGCTGGGCTGGGCTGTCCGCTGCGCTGTACTGCGCCACGCTGTATGTCGAGCTGAGTTGGGCCAGGCTGCGTTGCGGCGGGCAGGTGGTCATGGGAGGTGAGGGGTGCGGCGGTGCTCCTGGGCTCCAGCCGTGGCCGTGGCCTCGCTGCTTGGGTGGCATGCAGCTGCTGAAGTCGGCTGCGGTTGCAGCTCCCGCGGCCTGCACAGCGCAAGCGCAGGCCGCGCCAGCTGCAGCGCCTGCCCGCTGTCAGCACCCCGCGCGATCCCGGCAGCGGGGCAGGGTCGGTGGTTGGGCGGGTGCGCTGCCGGGCGCCCCGGTTGGTGGCAGGCGTCTGGGGCGCTGCCTCGTCGACGCGCCTCCGCAGAGCGGGCTCGGCGTCGGCGGGGTGGTTCCTCACAATGGCATCCTGGTGGATGCTCCCCAGGAATCGCGTCAAACTCCAACAGCTTTCCTAACAAAGCCATTGCCAGCTTACGTTTCGTTTCAGTAGATACCGGGTGAAGGCCAGGTCCTAGGACCAGCTGGGCCCAGCTGCAGCCTCCCAGCCTCCCATTTTTTTCCCGTGCGCGGCGGTGCAGGGCGGGGCTGACAAACACCGAATGGGTGGACCTGGGCGGCGGGCCGGGTGAGTTTAGAAGGCGGCAGTAGGGCACAGAAGTAGGGCACGGCCTCTGCGCCAGCCCAGCGTGTGCCCCGCTGCTGCTGCGGGCCCGCCCTGCTGGCCCGCTCCTCGCACGCGCGGATCCTACAACTGCCAGCCGGCGCTAGGCCGCCCGAGGCGCAGCCCGCAACCAACATGCCCTCGTGCCCGCTAGTCTCCTCTCCTGTCTCCGCAAGCTGCCCTCCTCCCCGCCTTGCCTTGCTCTTGCTGCCTGCCTGGCTGCAAATTAAGGCGTTCTTGCTGCCTGCCTGGCTGCAAATCAAGATGTTCTTGCTGCCTGCAGAGGTGGGGGGCATCCGGCAGTGCCTGCGCTTTGCCGCCAACGCCGACTTCCACCCGCTCATGTATCTGGAGGGGCTGGCGGCGGCGGTGGAGCGGCACGGAGGCAAGATCTACGAGGGGACCAAGGCGTGGAAGGCAGGCGAGCGGGCGCTGCGGTGTGCGCTGTGCACGCTGTGGTGGTGGTGTGCGCTGTGGTGGTGGTGGTGCTGGTGTGTGTGTGTGTGTGTGTGTGTGGGCGGGTGGTGGTCCCTTGGGTATGTGGTGGCGGTGAGGGAGTGGTGGTGGGCGCCGGGCTGAGCGGCGGTGCGGCACGCCCCTGCAGAGGCCGACCGCGTGGAGACTGCAGAGGGGCATGTGGTGGCCTGCGATGCCCACGTCATGGCCACCTGCTCCCCCTGCAACCACAACCTGGCGGTGCACGCCCGCCAGCTGCCCTACAGGCACGCACCTGCCCCGCCTGCGCCCGCCTGCCAGCGCCAGCCCAACACGCGCCCCACACGCAGCAGCCTCCTCGCCGCCCGCCGCTCCCAAGCTGCCCCCCGCCGCTGCGCGCCGTGGCACCCGTCCACCCACACACGGCCACACGCACCACCACGCCACCACGCTAACACACCGCGCCCTCCCCTGCCCGCCGCCCCCGCCATCGTCGCAGGACGTATGCTGTGGGGCTGCTGGTGCGCCGAGACGCCGTGAAGCGCTCCCTGTTCTGGGATACGGCTGAGCCCTACCATTACGTGCGCTTTGACGACTGGGACGATGAGCACCTGCTCATGATCGTGGGTGGGTGCCACAGCCAGGACGCGGCCGGAGCGGGCTGGGGCAGGGGTGGCACGCCGCCCGGCTGCACGCCCAGCGCTGCGCTGCAGGCAGGGCCCACGCCGGGCCTGCTCGCTTCCTCTGCTCAGCTGTGCGTGGTCCCGCCTGTGCCTGCAGGCGGGGAGGACCACAAGACGGGCTCCCTCTGGCCCTACGACCCATATGACAGGCAGGCAGGGAGGGAGGGGATGCACAGGGTGTGTGGTTGCGGTGGTTGTGAGAGTGCGGAAAGAGCACAGCAGAGAGGCAGCAGCGGGGCGCTGCCTGCCCTGCCGCACCGGGCCTGAGGGTTGGCCATGCCCACCTGCCGCCGCCTCCTCCCCGACAGACCTGCCCCCAGCTGCGATCCCCTGCCAAAGGCTCACCAATCCTGACGCCGCCCCTCTGTCCGCAGGCTGGAGAAGTATGCTCGCTCCCGCTGGACCGCGGCCGGGGAGCTGCTGCTCAAGTGGAATGGGCAGGTCATGGAGCCGGCAGGTGGGTAGGCGGGGGAGGGATGGGGCTGCAGGCAGGTGCACCTCTGCGTGCGTCCCTGCTCTGCCAATCCGACGCCTGCAACACCGCACCTGTTCTGCCCCGTTTCTCTCCCACTCCGCCTGGCCTCGTCTCATGCCCCATACACTAGCTGCTGTCTGTCTCGCACCAGCTGCCCATGCCCCTTGCACAGCCTCAGCGTAGCGGCTCCCCCTTCCCACCTAAATGCGCGCGTGCGTACTGCCACGCTCCCACTTTGTACCGCTGCAGACCTGCTGTACCTGCACGGTCACAACCCGCTGGTACCGGACGGCAACTCCTACATCATCACCGGGGACAGTGGACAGGTGGGCCCCAGGGAAGCTGCCCCAGGTGGTACTCCTCAGGAGAGGCAGCAGGCTGACTGGTAGATGGCTAGGGTGGAGCCCGCAGTCTCGGCAGTGCAGGCGCAGGTGATCCCACCCCTCGTGTTCGTGCCGAGCCGCCGCAGGGCATGACGGGGGGCACCATTGGCGGCATGGTGGTGTCTGACCTCATCCTCGGTGGGTGTGCGTGTGGGCGCATGTGTGTGCATGCTTCGATTTGTGTGTGTGGGGTGGCTACGGGGCGAGGCGCAGCTGCACGGCTCGGTACTGAGCTAGCTGCCACACCCCAGCGAGAGGTGCTGCCACACGCAGCCGGGCTGGCCGGCTCCGTGCCCTGCCGCTCGCCTGCCGCTGCTCAAACCTGTTGGCCGCGGCGCCGCCGTGCTGCGCCGCATTCTGCCCGGCAGGGCGCAAGAACCCTTGGGCCGACGTGTACGACCCCTCGCGTGCGCCGCCGCTCAAGTCTCTGCTGGAGGTGGGGACCACAGCGGGCGCAGCACGCCTTGGTTCCGCCGCTCGAGCCCCTGCTAAGCAGCGCTCGCCCTGCCTTCGTAGCCTGCTGCCCTGGAGGCCCTGCCCCCGCCCTCCTCCTCCCCTGCCACCGCTGACGTGCCCGCCCTCGTGCTGCCGCCTCTGGCCACCCCCACCCCCATCCGCGCACCTCCCGCCTGCCGCAGATTGCGGAGGAAGGCGTGATCACCACCACCTCCTACGCCGAGCGCGTGCTGCCCAAGGCGCGACCCTGGCAGGCCGCCCGCCTGCTCACACCCAGCCAGTGGCTCGCCGCGGGCGTGCCAGCTCCCCGCCTGCCCCGCACACGCTTGCCTCCTGCCCGCCAGCTGCCACCTTCCTCATTGGCACCCCGCGTGCCTGGCCCGTCCCCGCACCCGCCCCCGTTTTCGCCTCCACAACCCCAACCCTTGCTGGCGGCCTTCCCTCTCTCCCCTTCCTCCTGTTCCCCCAGCCTCTTCTCCCTCCCTCTTGCTCCTGCAGGTGACCCTGAGCTACGAGATGGAGCCAGACAGCGGCGCCGTGGTGCAGAAGGGGGTGCACAAGGCGAGCGCCAGCCAGGAGGGCTTGGAGGGGCCAGCCGGGCGTGTTTTTATCTTTCTGGAGGATCTGCTGGCCGGCCCACGCACGCGCCCGCCAGCGGCTGCCGCCACCGGGGCTGGCCGAGGCGCCTGCCTGCCCTGCTGAGGCGCCGCCTGCTGCGCCCGCTGTGTACTGCGACAGGTGGCCGTGTACTGCGACGGCAACAAGCAGCAGCACGCCTACAGCGCCGTGTGCCCCCACCTGGGCTGCATCATTCACGTGGGTCAAGCCAAGAACAGCAGCACCAGCTGCCGCCTGCCGGCTGCGGCCTGCCTCGTGCTCCTCCTCCCTGCCGGGCCCGGCCCTTACTGGCATCAGGTCACCTCCATCTCACCTTCCTTCCCCTGCCTGCAGTGGAACTCACTTGAGAAGACCTTTGACTGCCCCTGCCACGGCAGCCACTTTGACCGCTTCGGCAAGTGCATCAACGGTGAGCCTGGGAGGTTGGCTTGGGTGGTGCCCTGCGGCCGCCAGGGGCGTGCTGTGCGCTGCCTGCATGCCCGGCCAGCTGGCCTGCATAGCAGCCGTTGCGTAGCAACCCCTCGCGGCCGCTTCCGGCCGCTGCTGCAGGGCCCGCCAAGGGAGACCTGCAGCCCATCCCCGACTGGTGAGCACGGCGGCTGCCCTTCCGACTGGGCATGGAGCGTGCGCACGCACGGTTGGTTTTGTGTTGGCACCCTGCCTTCTCCCACATTCTTTGCTGCACATGTACCTTGTTAGCTAGGCCTTGCTTGCTGAGTGATTTATAATTACGTACTAGCTGAAGTTGCTGAGATTTGCTGCTCGCAAAGCTGGGGAGAAGCGGCAGCAGAAGCGGGAGGGGCAGAGGCGGGCGGCAGGGGGCCGGGCGGTGTGCTTCGGCTAGTCAGCAGCCTGCTCGCCCCACCAATATGCCAGCTTCTCCAATTGGTCCGCAGAGTGGGAGCGGGGAAGGCAAGTGGCGCCTCCCATGCACGAGCCAGGCGGCAGCAAAGCGCACACTCGTTGCATTCTGTCCTGTCTTTTGCAACTGGCAGACACGATAGTCATTCCTGCAGCACACCGCCAGCCAGTCAGGAGCGTTCTCACCGCACCTACCACACAGAAGGCAGCAGCATGTCCAGCGCCACAGCCCTCTGCTCCGCTTGCAGCACCAGCCGCGGCTCTCAGACACAGTGGCCGGCGGCAGCAGCGCGCAGGCCACAGCCGGGCCGGGCGGCAGACGCCGCCGCCGCCGCCGCCGGGCAGCGCGGGGCAGCGCAGCTGTGCAGGGCGGTGGACCCCGCTGGGCTGCAAGAAGTGCTGGTGGGCGGCGCCGTGACAGCTGCCACAGCGGCAGCGCTCATCAATGGCAGCAGCAAGGTGGGCGCTGGCCGTGTGGTTTGCCCGCGCCGCGTCTCCAGCTGCCTCCCTGGCTGCCTCCCCCACGGAAGCGTGGCTCACGGAAGCGTGGCTCACCCTGGGCCCACCACCTGCCCCACCCTCCCTGCCGCAGGGAGACCCCGAGGTGTGCGCCTCGTGTGCAGGCACGGGCGGCATCAAGTGCTTTGCCTGCGAGGGCAGCGGCAAGATGCTGGGGGTGTCTCGCGAGGCGCTGGCGGCGGCGGCTCGGCAGCGCGACCCGCTGGGCGGCAGCCGCAACCAGCGCGAGTGCGTGGCGTGCAAGGGTGCAGGCAAGATCTTCTGCAAGAACTGCAGCGGCAGCGGCTTCTCGCGGCACATGTAGCGGCGCCCCTCCAGTGTGCACCTCGCCCTTGCCTCGCACTCGCAATTTTGATTGATGGATTGACCTTTCATTTCTCGTTTGACGTCTAAAGGTTGACGTTTTCAAGCCCCATGCGGCGGCCCAGCGGTGCACACTGCCGCTGTTGCCCTGCGGTGCGGTCGACGCTGCCGGGTGCTGGGCGGCGGCAAGAGGTGGGTGGGGGCTGGAAGGGAGGTGGGAGGGGGCCCGCGCTGAGCGCCCGCACCGGCTGCGGAGGGTGGGGTGGCAGCGCTGTCAGCCGGGCTGGCACAATACATATTGCACACCCATCCTCCAGCCCACCCCGCCCTGGCCAAGCAGCAGCAGAATACATGACTTTCCGAGTGGGTGGGTGGTGTTGAATAACACCAGTTTGTTGTGGGGTTTGAGCGTCAGTCCCGCTGGGCGTGTCGCTTACGCGCGCTCGCCACGGATGCGGCGGGCCAGCTGGATGTCCTTGGGCATGATGGTGACGCGCTTGGCGTGGATAGCGCACAGGTTGGTGTCCTCGAACAGGCCCACCAGGTAGGCCTCGGCGGCCTCCTGCAGCGCCAGCACGGCGCTGGACTGGAAGCGCAGGTCGGTCTTGAAGTCCTGGGCAATCTCACGGACCAGGCGCTGGAAGGGCAGCTTGCGGATCAGCAGCTCCGTGGACTTCTGGTACTTGCGGATCTCGCGCAGCGCCACCGTGCCGGGCCTGTAGCGGTGGGGCTTCTTCACGCCGCCGGTGGCCGGCGCCGACTTGCGGGCGGCCTTGGTGGCCAGCTGCTTGCGGGGCGCCTTGCCGCCGGTGGACTTGCGGGCGGTCTGCTTGGTGCGGGCCATGGTGCTGGGTTTGGGGGATGGGTGAACGCCGACGCGTCGGGCTCTTGTAGGTGGAGCCGGTAGCTGGTTCAGCCAAGCACGCAGCAGGCTCGTGCTTTGTTGGTTTGTGTTTTGTGGAGGTGTGTGGGAGCTGAAAGATGAGGCACCAGGGCGGGGGCCTGCGCCGTCAGCCGCGTTGTTGACTGGTCTGGACCTTTCCCAGCTGTCGGCGGTTGATTGCCTGCCCCTGGATCGGTTGCTGCCAAACGGCATCGCACTGCTGCTGGACCTGCATAAGACGACCTTCCCAGCCTGTCCGCTCACCCCTCCACACTCTCTCCCACCCACCCCACACAACCACCAAGCAACCATGTCTGGACGCGGCAAGGGCGGCAAGGGCCTCGGCAAGGGCGGCGCCAAGCGCCACCGCAAGGTGCTGCGCGACAACATCCAGGGCATCACCAAGCCCGCCATCCGCCGCCTGGCCCGCCGTGGCGGCGTCAAGCGCATCAGCGGCCTGATCTACGAGGAGACCCGGGGCGTGCTCAAGGTGTTCCTTGAGAACGTGGTGCGCGACTCGGTGACCTACACCGAGCACGCCCGCCGCAAGACCGTCACCGCCTTTGACGTGGTGTACGCGCTCAAGCGCCAGGGCCGCACCCTGTACGGCTTCGGCGCGTAAGCGTCTCCCATCCAAGCCCCAAGTCAACCCACAAAAAAACAAAAACAAACTGGTGTTATTCAACACCACCCGCCTCACTGGGAATGGACGCACCGGGCAGGAGAGGGAGGCAAGCCGGGGCTGCTACGGCAACAAGAGCGGGCAGGCAGGCAGCGGTCGCAGGGCAGGCAGGCATGGCCGCCAACCAGTAATGAGGCACACCCCAGCATGCCACCGCCGCCTGCCACGCAACCCCAGGGACCCCTCCTTCTGGCTGCCCCAAGTGGTGTTGCGCTGCTTGTTACAAGGAGGGCAGCCAGCTGGCTTAGTCCAGCACTATCACCACCTCCTGCTCCTGCTGCGCCTCGACCTTGGGGCCGCCGCCCGCTGCGCTGCCGCCGCCCGCGGGCTGCTGGTTCTCTCTGTGGCCCGGAGAGTCGGAGGCTGCGCGCTGGCTGGGGCCTGCGTCGTCGCCGGCTGCCGCCGGCACTGCCGCTGGCGCCGGTGCCGCCGCAGGCGCCATCCACTTGGTGAGGAAGCCTCTGATGGATTGCTGGGTGGCCTTGCCCGTGCTGGCGTGCAGCGGCAGCGGTGCCCTGCGGGGCCCGCCCGCCGCCGCCTTGCCGCCGGAGCCCGGCTTGGCGGCGCCCGCCCCGTCCGGCGACGGCTGCTTGCCGCTGCCGCCGGCGCCCTGGGAGGTCAGCGGGGTGGTGTGGGCGGTGGCGGCGGCGTGGCTGCCTGCCGGGGCGCCGCCGTGCTGCGGGGTGGCATCTGAGGCCTGGCTGATGCCCTCCGGCTCGCTCCCTGCCGCTCCCGCCGCTGCCTGCCGGGCCAGAGGCTCCTTGCCGCCGCCCGCCTGCTGCGAGGCGGCGCCGCCGCCATCCCGGGCTGGCCCGGTGGGCTGCGTGCCCGCGGCGGCCTTGCTCCCTCCAAACCTGCAGCGTCAGGCACGAGGGCAGCGGGGGTGAGCCAGCAGCGAGACAGGAGCGTCGGGATCCAGGCAGCAGCAGCTGCCCCAACAGCCCAACGGCCCTAACAGCCGGCCACGGCTGCTGCGGCGGCGTGCGGGCCCCACCCTGGCAGGGGAGGCGCCGCCTGCGGCTGCGCCAGCGCCTCGAGCGTCTTGTTGATCAGATCTGGCAGCTTCTTCAGCAGCGACCTCCACTCCTGCTCAGGCAGGAAAGGAGGGCAGGGAGGAGCAGGCATGGGCAGGCAGGCAAGGGCGTCAAAGAAGGCGACAGTGGCACGTGCGCCGCCGGCGAGGGCCCCAGGTTGGGAGGCAAGGCAAGGAGGCAGGTGTTGGAGAAGCAGGGCGGCTCCTGGGGCTGTGCTCACCTCCTGGGACACCAGCTTGGGCCAGGCCGCAGCGGGAGCCGCGTGCACGGCGGCGGCAGCAGGCTGCCCGGCTGCGGCCGCCACGGCAGGCTGCCCCATTGCAGCAGGCTCGCCAGGCACGCCAGGCTGTTTGGCGGGCTGCTGCGCCTGCTGCGGGGCCTGCTCCGCGCCCGCAACCCCGACCTCTGCCCCCGCCTGCTGCTGCTGCGGCGGCTGCTTGGCTGGCGAGGGGGGCGTGGCCTTGACCCTGACTCGCTCCGGGAAGCCAAACCTGCGTGTGGCGGGCACGCGGGGTGGCTGCTCTCGACCACAGGCCACAGCAGGGACGGAGGCCTCCACAGCAGCAAACCCAGCACACAACAGCCGCCGCCGCTCACCGTGGGTCGGTCAGTGCGGACTGCAGGAGCTCGGCCTGCGCCATGCCCTTGCGCTGCACCCAGCCCAGCACATGCACCGCCCTCAGCGCGCTGCGGGTGTCCTCCTCCCGCCACCAATAGGCCGGCAGCTTGACCTTCACGCTGCACGCAGGCGGGGAGGAGCAGGGAGAGGGCAGCACACGGGTCAGGGGGCGAGAGGGCTGGTGTGTGGGGTGAAGCGCACCAGCAGGCAGGCCTGCCACAACCCCTTTCAGAGGACGCCCTTGTGCAGCGCGAAGGGTCGGTAAAAGAGGGAAGGGAAGAGGCAGGCAGGCAGGTGGGCAGGCAGCGGCATGACTCACTGCGGCAGCGCCGGCCCAAGCTTGGTGCCGCCAGGGCTGAGGTCGCCGCCGCCGGCGCTGGCCGCCCACGCCGCCAGCGCCTCGCGCTGCTTCAGGTGCTGCAGGCGGGCGGGGGGTGGCCTGGCTTTCAGCCGCTGGAGGCGCTGGCAGCAGCAGGCAGGCGGCACGGCAGGCAGGCCGGCGCCACCCCGCCACCACCCCCCACTCACCGCAGCGCTCTTGGCCGCGTGGATCGCCGCCCAGTCCAGGAACTGCTTGCTGCGCAGCGCCTGCAAGGGCCATGAGGCAGCAGCAGCAGAGGGTGTGTGGCTAAGCAGCAGCAGGGCGGCAGGCAGGCAGGAGAGCGCTGCCCAGCAGGCCACACGCAGGCAGCAGGGATCGTGCGTTGCGCATGCGTACCGTGGCCACCGCGGGCGGCGCCTGCTGCATCTCCGCATCCGCCCACGCCATCAGCGCCTCCTGCACAGCGCTGTCCTTGGCCCGCTTCTGCGGCCTGGCCTTGGCTCCCTCGCCGCCACCAGCCGGCGCCGGCGCAGCAGCCGCGGCCGCCGCAGCAGCATCACCAGTCTCGCCCACAGCGCCGCCAGGCGCAGCAGGCGCAGGCGCAGCCGCGCCGCCCGCTGCCGTGGTGGCGGCGCCCGCCCCGACGGGGTTGGCGGCCGGCGCGGGGTGCTGCTGCATGAGGAGCTGGCGCTGCTCCTGCACCCGTGCAGCGTGCGCCTCCTGCTCCAGCCTCTCTGCCAGCGGGGCGACGTGCCTCAGCGCGCGCAGCATGCCTGCCTCCAGCTCAGCACACTCCTCCACAGACCGCTCCAGCAGGTACGCCTGCGGGCACACAGCGCAGGGAGGGCACAGGGGACGGCAGGCAGGCAGTGAGGGAGAGGGGTCGAGGGAAAGAGGGCAGCCGAGGGCGGGCCGGGCCGAAGGGAGGGGCAGAGCAGACGGCGCCGCGCGCAGCAAACCGACGCACGCAGGCAGCCAGCTCTGCGCCGCCCCCACACCTCGCGCTTCACGTCCTGGGCGCGCCCCGGGCCCATGCGCAGCAGCGCAGCCTCAAACGCAGCGAGCTCCTCGTTGCGCCAGCGCCTGAAGGACGGCGCGGCGGCCACATCCGCCTTGCCCTTCTTCTGCTTCTTGCCCTGTGGAGGAGGGGCCCAGTGCCGGCCAGTCAGGCACGGCAGGCGGGCCAAAAGTGCCACGGCAGAGAAGAGGCAAAGCAGCTTGCAGCGTTCCTCCAACCGGGCCTCCCTCGTCCCTGCCTCTCACTACAGCCCACCGCCATCGCCACCACCACCAAAGCAGGACCAACACACCACCCACCCACCCACACACATATCGTTGATAGTAAAACACACCGCCACCTCCCTGCGCCCCTCCCACCTTGTGCTGGAACAGCTCTTCATCCTCCTCCGCCTCCCCGCCGCCCTCCGCCACCACATAGTCGCCGTCCTGGGAGTCGTTCTTGCCCGCCAGCTGCCCCTGCACAACACACCACACGCACACACAGGCACACAGCCACACACGTGCACACATTAATGTGCCGCAGCCCCTGTCACACGAAGCACAGCCACACACAGCCACACGCAGGCACGCCTTTGGTGGCGCAGTCGGCGAGGCAGACCCGGCTGCCGCCCCCGCACCTCGTGCCAACCCAACCAGCCTCACGCAACGCCACCCGCCTTTGGCGCGCGCATGCCTTGCTGGCAGGGCCGTGCCGCCTGGCCCTCGCTGCCGCCTGGCTGCTGTCCGCCCCGCTGCGGCAGCTGCCGCCAGCCAACCAACCCACCTTGTAATTAACCTGCTTGCGGCGGCGGGGGGCCAGCAGGACGGGCGCGCACCGCGCCGCCTCGGCCGCCTGGTGCCCCTGCGCCGCCTCGGGCAGCAGCGAGGCCCAATAGGCCTTGTCGTCGCCGCCGCTGGCGCCGCCGCTGGCCTGAGGGCAGGCAGGGGCAGGGGGCAGGGCCGGGTCGGGGAGGGGGCGGTCAGGAGGCACGCGGCCCAGCACTTCCCCCAAGCACAGGGAGCTAGGCTGGCCACTCCAGCAGGTCACCCAGCTTTGACGCAGAGCAGCTGCCGCAGCCTGCCGCAGCCTGCCGCCGCCGCCCGTTGACCCCCAACCCCTCATCTCTCTCTCCCACTCTCGCCTCCTCACCGTGCTGGCTCCGACAGCAAAGGTGGCCACGCTGAACGTGTTGCCCGCGCGCCCGCCGATCTGGCGCTTCTCGGTGCGGCCCTGCAGGATCTCGTCGATGCCCTCGGCGGCAAACGCGCCGCCCTGCACAGCAACAGGTGATGCAGAGAGAGAGAGATTGGTGGTGAGAGGGGAGGGGAGCTGCTCAGCGGTGTGCCCGCCAGCGTGGGAGCTGGGATGCAGCAGCCGTGTTGATGGATTGCAAGGTGAGGGTGCACAGGCAGGCGCCAGCACGGCGGGACGCAGCCCTCAAGCGGTACCGGCGGCGGAGGGTGTTCCCCGATGCAGCAGGGCAGCGAGCCGGGCCCGCCCACCTGCTCGTTGGCTGCCTCCATCTCGTGCAGGCAGTGCGCGCCGTGCTTGAGCAGGTCGGCTATCTTGCGCACATCTTCCTCGGGGTTGCCGTCGCCACCGCCGCCGCCACCGGTGGCGTCGGAGCCGCCGCCGCCCAGGTTGCCCAAAATGGCCTCGTCCAGGCCTGTGTGTGTGTGGTGGTGGTGGGGTGGGCGGTGGTAAGCACACACAGGGAAAAGCATGAGCAAGGCAAGCAGCGCGGGCGGCAAAAGAACGGGGGGCAACCTTGGAACCGACACGGCCCACGCCGGACACCCACACCTCTCCTTCCCTGCCGACTCTGCACAGGTGGTCTGGCCCCAAGGACCGACCGACTCACTCACTCACCGTACTTGCGGGACGAGATCTGGAACACATTCTCCTCGTCTGCGGCACACACGCACAAAGTGAGCCCAGCAGCGGTCGGCGACGGAAGCAGCAGCG